AGGTTTGGGACTGCTGCTAAGTCCACTGAGTATATTTGTAGTAGATTTCCACCTAAATCACTTATATATGAAAATAAATGGAACAAGAGAAGAAGACGTGTTTAATGTGATTATGAAATACTGTAATACATGCTAAAAACAGGGTACAATTTTAAGGTCGGATTGCTGATATTATTCTCCAGATGAGCTCAGCTACCCAGACCCCATTACTCATCCTATTGCTCATTGGTTGTATTTGACCTGCTTTGACAATGTATCTACCCTGAAGTCCTCACATTGGTTTTGGTAGGTGGTGGGTAGGAGTGGATGACAAAAATTCTTCTGGTTGTAGAGATGTCCTGCTCCTGACCATCTATTTTGCTATTTAACGCCAGGGAAACAATAAACATAATACATAGGATGTAGAGATTGACCGAAATGTGTATACACACCATACTGTTCACGACAGGAGAGGGCTGTGGAATGTGGCTCATCCTTGCCAGTGAAATAATGGTCTTCCCACTTGACAGCTGCTACTCAGATGTAATTCCTGAGAAATCTTCATGAGGTCAGCATAAACTTGATGGAGGACCAATATAAATGAAAGAAAAGTTGCGTAGCTTGACTCTTATGCTCCTTATCTGTACTATGCGTGTGCTGCCTACACTCCCATATTGTGCTGGGTCTTTGCAGTCGTATAGCTTTACCTCCCTTCTGCTCCGTGTTCCGTTTGGGGCTTGTCATCGCAGAATAAGTTGGCCATGAAGTTAAAAAGATTACCAGTAACACTGAAATGAGCGAGACTTTTGTATAGCTTTGTATAGCTTGTATAGTTGATTATTGGGTGATATTCTCAAAATGGATGATACATTTCTTTAGGTTATCTACACTTATTTAGCTTCATAGGAGCTTTATGCTGCTCAGAATGACTGAGGTGAGCTCTGTCTTCTTCACTTTCTGCCTTTCTTCTGATTTTAGGTGTGTTCTTAGGCCTTTTAATTGTTCACAATTTTTAGGGATTTTACATGTGAAACTATGGTAATGGTAAAGGTATACAGTCAACCTGTGGGAAATTCAGGATGAATGCCCTTCTTTACTAGAAAGTGTTAAACTTAAAATTCCTTGGAGAGTATTCCTTCCTCTCCTTAAAGGCACCGTAGCTAGACTATTATTCCCATATATGGTACTGGGTACTTTAATTCCTAATAAGGGATTTGGGATATCTCACCAGGGGTTATATGACTAACATTGTTGAACTGGCTACATTTTAGATGCTTAGGTCCTCCTGTGCGTCTTCTCCATAGGCTTGCAGTAGTAAGTGAAGAAATACTTGAATACCTTTAAAAGTTTGGACCTGAAGCTGTAAATCTCCCCAATCATTCAAGTTTTAAAGAGTGCACATTGTATGAAAGTTGGGCAAATTTTAACTAATTAACATGAAAAGTGGAAAATAAAAAAAAATGTAAATAATAATAAAGAGAAGGCCAGATTTGCAGAGCTGCACAGATTTTGTTGTGCTGTTAAAATAGTAAAATCAAAGTAAAAAGAAGGCGGTTATTTGTTTAGGTTGCCAAAAACAACCTAGGAATGTTATTTTGGATTCCTTTATTTGAATACCTTAACTGGAAATATGTGATTGATTATCTTTTCAATTTTTACATCAGACCAATGTGTATCAATGGAACCAGTGCATTACTGCATTTTTAAAGAAAACTGTTTAGATTTTGAGAATATATGACAAAAAGGTAATTACAAAGTGAATTGTACCTGAAATGATTCTGCATGCTAATCAGCTTGAATTACAGGGTTGGACTAATGCCTAAAGCTGTATTGAAGGACGATTTAAATTATAGTCTAACTCTACAGAAGAAAATGAGAGTTATTGCCTATAACAACTTATCATCTCTATACCTTCAGAAAGCGAGAAATATTTGAGTTTACTGCAGAACCTATTCAAAGTTATTCCCCAAGACATTGTCTAGACCAATAACATTAACAGAAAAAGAAATGGTCCAGAAAGTTATTCTACAGACACAGTGCTGCTTACTGCACTGTGTCAACAGTGAGCAATCTAAGAACCAGTCAGATGCTATCTCGGGAAATTAAATGTCAGGAATGAAGAAGTTTTGTTAAAACAAATAACATTTACTTTTCAACAAATCACTCTTTCTGCCTGTTGCTTTAGCACTCAAGTTAGTTATTCATGCCATCTACATAAACCTGAGGAAAGCAGTGGCTGTATTTGTCTTCAGTTATGGAAAAATGGAGGTGATTTCACTTAATTTATTTTAAAATTGAGTGGACTTAATTTATGTATGAGTGAAAAATTAGCTGTAATCAGACTGGAAAGTAATAGCAGGAGCTAAACTTGAGAAGAACTGATCTGTTTGTGATTCAAGTGTTTCAGGTGTTTTACATTCTGTTTAAAGTAAGACAGTATAAGTAATTCAGTCATAATGGCTTCTCTGTGACCTAATTCATCACAAATCATTCTAAGTATCTTTGATGGGAGATATAATATACTGCATGCATTTGAAAGTCAGAAAACAGAAAAAAAGTACTGCACAGATACTACTTGTGAACAGCAATGGTTGTAGTTTCGAAGTAACTTCTGATCTGTTTACTGCAGTGTAAAGTAGCTGATTTTTCAAAAGCAAATGAAGAATGAGCAGCAAACATAGTTAGTAAGTGGTTAATTTTGAGTATTTAAAAACTAAACCTATAGTAAATGCAGTAGATTTATTGCTAAGAAGGAAAAGGGAGTGAATAATGTGATGGGTAAATTTATTGATAACACCCGATTTTTTCTCATGATCAAAATATGAGATGACAGGAAACAAGAAGGATGCTGTAATTTTTTCAAATTTGGATAGAGACAAGTACTAGAAATATTCTGCAGGTGTCGTTCAAAGCAGTGGCAGGCCTTCTGTGGAGTAGTGTTCGCTAGTGGGTACGGCATGCAGGAGAACTGACATTTTGTAGTGATGCAAAAGCAGTATAGCTGTCTAGTTAAAAGATTCTAGAGCTAATTATATTTTGGCATAACAATTAGCAAAACACAATCCAAATGGGATACATATTATCTGATACGTAATAGGGTTAAAACTGAGTGCAATGTCTTCTTTGCGTTGCTTCTCATCAGAAGATTCAGTACATCCTATTCTAAGAATGCACTCATAACTTTTCCCTGTTTTAACAATACAAATGCAAGTTTTCACTGCAAAATATGGACTTTTTGCAGATTTTTTGTATTTTTCTGTGTATCTGTAAAAATTTAGCTAATGAGATAGGTGAAATGAAGGCATTTTGACTTAAACTTGTCAACTTGATGCTTTTGGCATGGGGTGTTTGTGAAAAAAGTCCTTCATACCATCTAGTGAGTAATGTAATGGAGAATGAGTGATCAAAAGACATCAATGAAGTGATTTAGGGAAACTGCTTTAAAGAACCAGGGAGCCTAATAATAACTTCACAGAGAAGCTGAGAAACAAAAAGAGGAAAAAAAACAACTGGGAGAAAAGTAAGGAAGAGGAAGTACAGACTATTTAGGCAAGGATGGGGGGGGGACTTGGCAGTCAATGAGACAAGGACTGGAGGTGGGTCTGTAATTCCTAGAACCTGCCAAACAACTTAGCTGGCTAAATGCCATTGTCAGCTTGAGTACCTGCACTCAACTGCCAAACTCGTTCTGAAGGTGGGACTCAGCTGTCCATATTTCAAAGCTACTACTGAAAATTTAACTGTATATCATAAAGATCTAATTGAGACTACACATGTTGGTCTAATGTGGTGTGTTCAGTCATCAAAACACAGTACAAGAACAGCTTTAATATTTGAACTTAAGTTCTATTTTTAGAGTAGTTTGTCACTTACAGTATTTGCCACTTTTTCAGTATGGTCTTACTAAGGTCTTAGCTCTGGAAAGTGCTACCCCTTATGGTCTCTGCTCAGCAACTCACTTAGACATGAGCTGTTTATAAACCTGTAGGGAAGCGCATTGATTTCAGTCAAGTCAGCCCCTTAAGTAACTTGCAATGGTTTTCTGAAGTGCATGGATTTTCAATGGCTTATGCCATATTAAAGTTTGGACCTTAATTATTATCAGTACTGCATAGATACTATTTGTGAACTGTAATGTTTGTAGTTTCAAAGTAACTTCTGGTCTATTTACTGCAGTGTAAAGTAGTGGATTAGCAGTTAAAACTCTAGATGCCTAGCAAATAGCAAGATCATGTAATACAAAGATTTATTAGGATACTGAGTAAATCAATAGAATGCACTACTGAGTAATTAGTGTATGAAGTTTAGTAAGTACATACTTACTGAGGAGAAAATTGAGGTTCTTCAGAAATGTCAGCACTGGTCAGTCAGAGTCAGTCTATTGTTCAGTTAATTTTTAAGGGTATTATAGCATTATCAGGAGCCATATTTTTATTATCCAATTACAAATATTTTACCCACTGCATAATTAGCCCAAAATCATAATTTTTTTCCTGTAGTCAAGAGAGCTTGCTGTTTATTTAGCAACCAGGTTTTTTTCTTGATGAATAATACTAATATTGAAATTAGTATGAAAAGTAAAGGGAAAATTAGGTGTTTTGTGTCTTCATTTATCCTGTCTTTGACCACCGTTGCTGTGCTTGCAGCTTCTGCCTAGTGTTTGAAACCTGGATGTGTATGTAACCAAGCAACAAATTTTTGTTCTAAATGTTGTGATTTTAGTAGATTTGGTGCCTTTTTCAGCCATTATCCTTTTGTTCAATTTTACGCTGAGGTGAAATTTGAGAAGATTTATTTCTTGGACAAAAATTAAACAAAAACATTTAATTTGACCATAGAGATGCAATCTAATGAAGAGTGATAACAACTGTAATTTCCAACCTTTTCCAGTGAATACAGTGTTTATCAAAGTTCTTAGAGTATGTTTTTTCAGTACAGTTGATTCACTGAGGAGTCAGGGAAGTCTTACAGAAAGTATTATTAAAATAGCTTAAGTACCAGAATTTTCTTCTGCTTTTTAGGAAACCTCTCTCTTGCATAAAGTTCCATATTAATAATGAATTAGTAGAAGTTATTCCAAGTTCAAATCCCTGTTCTCAGACTGACATAGAAGCAGCTTATTTACTAATGAAGAACATTCATGAAGAATTTACTGAAGACAAACGTTTAAAGACAGACTGTGCCACTGAACTTAAAGAACAATGCCAAGGTAAAGTGTTTAATTTACTGTTTTCTAACTTTTAATGATGTCACCTTGGTAACGTCCATAATATTTAGTAAAGGATTCACAGAAGTTGAAGAAATATTTTGGATGACCACATCCTTTGCAATTTCAGTAGTTACAACCATTTAAGAGGGATTTAGTCCATGGAGAAGAAGGGCTTGTCTGAGTAGTGCAAGATAAATGCAAGCCAAAAGAAATTTCAGGCTGATTAAGCATATGGCAGAAGGCGTACAAAAAGAATCACAATAAATAGACATTGCTGGGCATTGATCAGAATGGTCCTGATCCTTTTTAGTTCAATAAAGTTAGATCCCTGTTGCATGTTCTTTTACCATATAAAGGAGGGAAAGGATTAAGTAGTTTAGCTTTATTGCTGGAATGAAGATACTTCAAATTGGGTAGTGTTCCTCTGTGTTTTCTGAAATGTTCTAATCTTTAGTACCCTAACGGATAGAATAAATTCTGATCACAGAGGCCAAATTTTGAGGAAGTGCTAGATTCAGCTATATTGCAGCGTATTATTCCAAACTGTCTGCTTGTTGTTTGTTTGCTTGTTTTTCTTTAATGAAGGGTTTGGCAGGGGGTTGGGGTCTCCTGCTAAATAGATTAGCATAGAAAAGAAAGTAATTTAATCATCTGCAAAGAGCTTTGATCCACAGTCACACGGTGGGGACTGGTGGTTCTTGGTACAGCATTGTACAAGATAACATTTATGAGAAACTTAGTGTATTACAGTTAATAATGGAAAAAGAGTGATCTTAATTCATCTGATTAAGTATCTTCTGATTTTTTACCTAAGATAGGTCTATGGCAGAAAATATTTCATTTTTATTCCTGCTAATATAAGCCTACGCTTCCTTTCAGAGACCAAAATCAATTTCTTGAGTCATTTTACTTTTTGAGATGTAGCATATGAAAGTAATGCATCAAGTAAAACAGCTGTAGCACTGCATATGATAGAAAGGTTCTTGTTTCAGACGAAATTATTTCCAGTAAGGTTGTGAAATTTAGCATAATAGATTGTGCTTACATTTAAAATGTGGCTAGTAAATTATTGCTAGACTATAGCAGCAGACAACAGTAAGCAGCCTGAAACTGTGAGGTATGCACAAGCATATAGAATGGACAAGCTGAAAACCAAATTGAGGTCAGTCAGTAACTTAGATTTCTAGACTTCCTCCCAGCGTACGTCTCTTTAAATTACATTAGAAACAAGCTCTCCATATTTAATATACTGTTAGTAGTCCTTCTGTTTTGCATAGGCTATCTCTGTAATGTGTAAGGGATCACGCTGGAATGACTGCCATCTTTGTACTGTCTAGCTCCAGCTAAAGCTCAAGAACGTGAACACTGCGGTAACACATGACAACGCTACCAATAAGGCTCCCATGCGAGCATGAGTTACGATTGATAAAGTACTTGAGCTCATGCTGAAGCCCATTAAAGTTCTTTTCTTAAGCTCTTGATGACCAGACACTGCTGAATCAAAAGAAAGTGTGCAATGATAATGCCTTCAAGTTACAATTTTGAGAAATAAGTCTGTTTAAATTGTGCAATTACACTTCCTAAAATCAAGAAGTGGCAACTGTGATTTTGATTTTGTGTTGGCTTCTATCACTGGCATTTGTGAATCTAATTTTAGCTGTTGCTCCAATTGTAAAATTCTGTATCGGGAAAGCAGTTGGATATGTGATTGTATCTATTCCTTTTCACAAGGGCAGTTGAAGTGGTTAAGTGCATTCCTGAACAGGTATACTTTCTTGAGGTGGGGTATAAGTGGTTAAACGTGCTAAAATTGATGAAGAAATGCACTAATTGAAACATTTGAATCACATTACAGTAATATTAAGACTAACTAGAAAAAAAGTCCTTTTTCATACATTTCAGATAATAGAGCCACTTACAATAAGAAGACACAAATTAAAATAATCAGAAAGTAATAGAAATTGTATCTAAATTGGTATTATAAATGCAAATCAAGAGCAAAGTGATATGCATTTTTTTAACCTAATTTAGTATTGGGGTATTAGAACTTATCCTGCTTTCTTTGAATTAACAAAAATTAAATGAGGAAGACATGATAAAAGATATTCTTTGTAGACAGCATTGTCAAATTAATGATTCTGAAGCAGTCTTTATTCTCTGAGTAATTTTAGTGCTAGTTCTGCAACCACAATTTACAGGACTATTAAAGTACTTCTACACTGTTTTGCTGGTTGCCTTGAAAAAAGTACAGATTCAGGACCATGTAAATTAAACTAGAAAAGATAGCATATTTCTTTACTGGGAGGTACCCTAAGCTTTGTAGGCTGCTGTAAGTTTTAGGAGCCTCCCATGACCTGGTCATTTCATTAAACGGAGGCATATATTTTTGAATTGATAAATTTCCTTATGGGGAGCTGTTTGTGTTATGCAGCATACAATTTCTAAACAGTTTGAGGGGCCGTATTGGGTGTTTATCATTTCCAGCCACTAGGAAGGAAAGGAGGGGTATTACTGATAGGGAGTCATCTAAGGAATGAAGAAGGAATGTAGGAATCAGGAGGCTTCCAAGTTAGTAAAAGAAAAGGGAGTTCTTTACTCTCCTTCTGTACCATTTCAGTGTAAGTAAAGGGTTGCAAACGTAAAGGATTGCATCAAATAAATCTGTGATTCCTGTATCAGTTTCTGTCTCATGGAGAGTAGCGGTCTGAATTCAAAAGAAATTTAAGTGTATAATTTGATCTTTATTGAAACCGTAATAATCTGTCACCCTCTATATATTTTGACTTTTTGTTTTTTGAATAAATTGATCACTATAGCAGAATTACAAAATCCATGTTTAGGCTTAGATATATGGCAGTATAGGAGAGACTACTTCATTATTGGCTGTTGGAGCGTGTGAGCCTGTCATATGTGGCGCTGAACTAAGTAACTCAACTAAAACGTACCTCAGAAGTTCTTTTAGGATAGCTTGATAGTGCAAACAAGGGAGTGACAAGAAATTAACTTTTCTTTATAACAAGTGTTACGTATAACAAAAGAGTAAACAGAAGAGAACCAGAGCTTATTAGATGAACCACTGGAAACCTAGGCTTTTTTGCATGTAGAAAAAAGTTACTGTTGTGCTGATATTTATAGCATTTCAATAGCTCTTCCACAATTATCTTTATTCTGATAATGCTTATTATTTTTATACTGTTTGCTAATATAATTTTTTCCAGATTTGTTTGTTGGAGATGAACTTGTCTTTGTTGATAATCTTGTAAACTACGGTAAAAAACTCCCTACTTTATATGCCCTTCTGGACAGACTACAGTTTTTTTTAGTGCAAGATCCTCTTTTAGATTCTAAAGGACAGAATTTAACAGAAGAGAACATTTTCAGGTATATACAAAATTATTGTATAATATTGAACGTAAATAATAGTCTCTATGTAATGCTATTAACATTTTAAAATCTTAACTTTGATGATATGTTAAACAATTTCTTTACATTTGCAAAGAGTAAAGATTTTAGCTTTTCTTATGTAGGAAAAAATGAGCGGGATGGAATTTATATATGCTATTAAAGAAAATGTAATAAATCAAATAATGTAATTTTAGCTTCTGTAACTGCTCAAGATTTTAGTTTTGGAGTGCTGAAAAATGCTCATCTTTAAAGAACCTTCATCAGACTGCCTAATGCCCTTAGTAAAATGCCATTAAATTGAGTAGGGCAGCTATCTGACCAAGCTTGCATGTTTATTCTTCCTCTGCTGTCTGTCCTCTTTCAGCAGATCCGTGCTTTTACCCTGTCGAGTTGCAGTTCTTTAGGTTCAGATTTTAATTGTTATTGTTATTGTTAAGTTGATTGAATTTAATTGAACAATGTCCTTTATGTCATGGATTTGAACAGACTGGTACATTAGAACAGGCATAAATTATACTCAGAACGTTGGTAATATTTTGTAATATTTTACTAAATATTTTACTAAATAGGGAGTATACTCTGCCTTGTTTGATGCTGAATGATTTCTGAAAACAAGAAGTTCACAAATGTTGAATCATATGAATATTATAGATTATAGAAACTTTTCTGTAGTAGAAAAATTTGGTTTTAGAAAAGAAAGGTCTGAAGCTTTTGCAGAAAGAGTTTTGACATAATAGGGGACTTAAATGTTGGGCCAGTAAACAAGTTTAAAATTGTTATTTCTATTTTTTAAAGACAGTTCCCAATATTAAGTTGCTATGCTTGTACAATTTTCTTGAAAAATGATTTCATTTAGCTACACAGCTTGTTGCAGCATGTCTTGGAATTGATTTCCTAGAAAACCATGAGCTTGAAAAAAAAAACTTCTCATATATATTGCTATCAAAGCTACAGTTAAGACTTTCAATCTTACATATGAAATAATAAAGAGATGTCACTTACTTTATTTTATGATCTTTTGAAGGGAATGTTTGACTTTCCAAAATGAAGTGGAGATGCAGGAGAGTAAAAAAGAATTGCAGGGAATTAAAGAGAACTTCAGTCCAATTTCTTTAAAAGATGAAGAGGTATTACAAAGCTGTTTCTTGCCAGTTATATTTTTGATTGTTAAGCACAAGTGTTTTTTCATCTGCAAGCAATTTTACTGAATTCTTTTCATATTTGCCAAATATTTGAAGCCTTCCTGTTTCTCAGATAAAAAACCACTATTATTATACGCATATTTTGAATTTCTGGATGCCTTTGCTATGAATCTCCGCTTCACTCGTCTATTTCTGCTGAGTTCTGATGTACACGCATTTTTATGTAGGTACCATTGCACTAAGAATAGAAATAAATCAGAATGAAAAGTCATGATGTGTGTAAGAGAAATGGAAAATTCTGGTACATGATTTTTTGTGATTTGGGGGGCCACTTTTTAAATATATATATATATATTTTTTTTTTTTTGCTCCATTTTTCAAAATTCTACCTAAAAAGGTATATTGAGTCACATTATGTTTCTACAGTGTCAGCACTATAGAGGAATAGTGGGGCTCAGGAAATACTGAGAAGCATCAGAACTACCCTGGCAGTATTTATGATGGGTTTTTATCAAGCGTAACCCAAAAACAATGACCACAGTCATAGTCTCACATCACAGGGGAAATGTATTTTGGGGCTAGTAACAGTGCTGACAACATGATCCAGTTATATGCCAGACTTTCAGTGAAATAAATGAGGATTTTACTGGATGGGAACTGTAAGTTTAGATTTGCTCTTGTTACTCCACTTGTTCATTTTGAGATATTGTAATATTACTTTATTTTATTTTACTCTATTCTATTCTATTCTATTCTATTCTCTTTTTTTCTTTGTCTTGAACTGAGCTTTGTTTATGCTGTGTGCACATCATATAATATTGTTATTAGAAGCTCTTAGATCAGTTTAGAATTAAGCTATTTCAAGATTGTAAAAAAGCTTAAACTCTGCAGTAGCATCAAGAGAAACTTAGAATTTACTTACCCGTTGTATTGTGGTTAACATTTTTCAGGATTTAATGTTGCCTATTGAGTTAGAGGTCTACAGGAAACACAGATCAGAAGTCAAGATTCCATCATACCTGGAACTAAAAGAGTCATTAAAATTAGCTCCAGAAGCTATAGGTGATGAAGGCACATGTGAAGAGTTGATCCAAGAAAGTGAGAGCTCATTTTCTTATATGCTTGACCCGATTTTACTCTAATTTGAACAGAGTTAACACAATCCAGTTATTTTGCTTTCAGTTCACATCATAATTTACAGACGGTCAGATGAGAATTTCTGCATATGAAACTATGAATTTTGCTCTGCCCTGATTTCAGAGTATTAGAATCGTTCTCCTCAAATAGCCAAAAGGAAGTGATCTGTTTGCTGCATGGTCCGGTCCGGGGTTATGTTGTAATCTTGAAATCGAATGTTACATGAGCCATAGTTCCTAATATCCAGTCCTCCATGAAGATAATAACTTACTGCTATGTTTCTTATCTGCAATTAAATTTACTTTCAGAGACATACCCAAGAGGATTATATGCAGTCATGCCATATAAATTGCATGTAATGGCGGTGGTTTGTAAATGGCTTCTAATGACATTGCAATGGTAAAGGCCAAAGCAGGTTTATAGCACAAGTAGTCATTCAGTAGTCATTTCTTTAAAGGACTTTAGGAAAAATTACTAAATGCTTTTACGTTACAGATAAGAAGTATATTTTTAATGACAGTTATTGGCTCTTGAATTGATATATAAGGCAGGATCTTGTATAGTTAAGAGAAAAAGACATTGTCTGAGATTTTAATTTTGACAGAAAAAACAGCTTAGTTTCCGAAAACAAGTGAATGAAGACACTTCTTTGGTAGACAGGAAGCAGGTAGTGTTGCTCAAAGAAGCAAGATTCATGCTTTTAAATATGGTGGATACATGCTGAATTCTGCTACTCCGAGGGCAGCAGTGTTGGGTAATCCAGTCACATATTAAAGATAAGAAAAACTTTAAAAAGCATTTACATATTTGGCTAAGGCAGTTCCATGTGCATCGGTCTGATACATTTAGTGCTTATGTACCACGTTCCAGGATGAAGCCAAATGACTCTACCTCTACTGCAGAGGCCTGGGGATCTTTGTATACAGACTTCAACCTGTTCTTTTTTGTTTTGTTTTTGTCCTTTTTAGTAGCAAAAAAAGAATTCATAGACAAATTCCTAGTGAAATACCTTGAGATCACCTGCTTATTCCAGCAATCACATCCCTGTAGTCATAAGAACTTTGAGTAGTTCAGATAGTGAACCAAAATACTTATTTTAGCCAGGCTATACTATATTGCATTTGTTTTTCAGCATTGTCAGGGAACAAGACTGTGCACTGCTCTCGTCCTCTGCAGTAGCCTATTATTCAGCATACCTGCAGTTCTTCATAATGATGAGCTATGGAGATCCAGTAAAATGGAGACCCATTAAAAAAAATCCTGAAGCAGTTGCTTTAGCAGGAAGAAGAAATAAAAGGCTAACTTACGACACCTTTTAAAGTTTGTTTTCATCTCTCAATGCAGAAATTATGAGCAAATCAGAAATTTCCAAGTACTGTCCCAGACCGGAAGGGGTTTGTTCCAGTAATAGCAGAAGTATGTTGGATTTCTGTGAGGCAGGTAGGAAGACCTAGATAAATCCAGTGGTATTATTTAAAATAAACTGTTCAAGGAATTGATCCATCCGCTATCCTGTTCTTGGGTGTATGTGTGCCACACGTAGTTAAGATCAGAACGTTTACTTTGTAAAATCTACTATTTTGTATTTGTACCATAAGGAGGTAGAAGCACCATACTCCTTTCAAGAGTTTTAAAATTGAGGCACAACAACTTTCCACTTGCTTCATGTTGCTTTTGGCTGCAAGTAGTGTCCATACCTTTTGCACTTGAACGGCTTTGCAGGGTTTTTTATCTAATTGCTTCCCTACCCAGAGAGGCCAGAAGAATGTTAAGGCAAATTAATTCAACATGTGGAGCGAAAGAGCGCAGCTTAAAGTTTATTAGGTATGTTTGTATGTTGTAAGTCACATGTAAGCACTTTGAAAAGCAGGACAATTCAGGGAGAGGTACTTAAGATTTCCCTACTGAGTCCATACCTTCTAGAGCTAGAAAACTCCTGAGCAGACTTTGTGGTTTGTGAATAGAGCAATATAGCTGTATGATCAAGAAATAAAATCAGATATTCACATAGCTATTTTCCCCAGAAGTAAATTCAAAGTGTTGAATTTTGCTCTGCGTGAGTTAAACCTTGCCTTCTCATATGTTGGTCTTGGAAAATTCTGCGCATCCACCTTTAATAGCTTGAAAAAACATCGATCAAGTGTGATGGTTACTTACAAAACAAACTGATGCCAGACAGTTTTTGGTGTCTGTCCACTCAAGCTAGCTATCCAACCTAAGTTGCAATTTTTTCAGGTTCCAGATATAATCTCTCAAAATAGCGGATAGTCTTCCCATCCCTACTATTTTCACAGTTTAAATTTTGGCTGGCTAAAAGAGGCAGCAAAATGATACTCTGCTGATACTTTTCAGCCTCACTTCTAAGCAGGAAAACTACAAAGACTGACTGATCTCAGCAAAAGCAAATTAGTGCATTGGCCCGTGCGCAGTAGCAGTGTTACAGTGTTAGCCTCCAGTGCGTATTCACTTGATAGTCTTTCATCCAGCAGTTACCAGAATCTTTGAGATATTCTATTTTTCCTCCAGATCAAGACGCTTCTGTATCTCAATCTTCATGTGGTTTTAACTAGACTGTCTTTCCTCTTCAGGCTAGTGGCGTGATGCTTCTGATACTGTATTGCAGTGAAAATGGACTTTTGGTGGGAGCAGTCATGTCAGCTCAAATTATCAGATGAAAAGGTTCAAGGCCAATTCACCATACACTGGCCTATGGAGATAAAGTTATACCTAGGCTCCATCTGGAGAGTACTGCCTCACATGATTAATTTCAGTCTTAACCCAGTGAGATACCTGTCTGTTTTTTGTTTCTAAAACTTACTATAAACAAGAGGAGGTTGAGTATAGTGGTAGATCTGAGCAGTTTAGGATCCTCCTGCTCTATCTAGTTGTAACAAGTGGTCTGTGAGTTCATCTAGGATAGTCTCTACTCTTCAGGCATAGGTTAGTGGTCAAACTGTCCCATCTCAAGTTGCTTTTGGACTTGAATTGGACTGCATTAATCTGTGTTACCAGTTTGCTGGCTTAGCTGTACCATTGAATCAGGCAAGACTCATTCAGCAGGGCCTAGGCAGCTTCCGTGTCTTTTTTCTTCGAAGGTATTCAGATCTTTAGGATGGAGACCTGCAAACCTATATATACATTGATAAGACACTATTTTTTAGTGGAAGTTGCTATATCAGGTGTCAAATTTTAGCAGAGATATCTTGCAGTCTTTTTCAGTATTTAATTTTGCTATATGAAGCAAAATTGTGAGTGAAATATATGGCCAGGTATTCAGAGAAGAAACAGTCATGAAATAATGACTGTTTTTGATATACATTAAATTGTTTGATATACATTAAATTGTTTGCCCTCCTATCCTGCTAGCTATGTGGATTATTAATTAATAAAGGACTTGAGGGACAAGAGAAATCCCTCGGTCATTTATGTTCTTAGAAGGCGGCTGGGGTGTAGACGCCATCATTGTAGGCAGAGCTTAACTGATGTTGCTGGTCAAAATGTTCCAGTCTCAAAGGCGAAATAACTCAAAGAGAAGAATACAAATGTTATTGCTCAAAGAGAAATAACTGCTCTTTTTAGATATGTCAGGAATTTTTGCTGCCCTAGGAGTGATTCCTTGTCCTTTTGGGAGAAAAGTGTTCAATTAGTTTCTTACCACAAGAAACAGTCTGTGAAGGTGAGGTTCAGCCACTGCTAGTGATGTTTCTAAGTAAATGGGAGAGAAATTATATTGGTTGGAAGTCTGATTCTTTCTTGCCTAAACACCTTTTCTTATTTTTTTAATTTGTACTTTACATACTGCAGCTTCCTACCACTGTCCTGTATCTTTCCTCCCATATCGTCTAACTTTTAAGGCTGGATAAGTAGCAGCTGTAAGCAACTGGACAAATGACTAATTCAGAGCCAGCTGTGTGGCCAAAAAATGTGCATGTGGTGATTGCAGCAGCTTGCTGCTTGTTGGAATGGATGAGAAATTTGTTACTTTTTTTTTTTTCCTTATGGGGGTGTTGATTTACTTCTCATTTTTCTGGCTATTGGTTTTCACAGAACGTATAAGAACTGGTATTTTTTTCTGATTGCTACTCTCTGGTCCAATTTGACAAGAAAAATTATTAGAAGACTGTCAGAGAGATGAATACCAGGGCAACCACATAAACCACCAGTTTTTAAGAAACAACATCAAATTCAACAAAGATACAAATTACTTAATAGTTTTAATAAAAAGAAATAATCTATAAAAATGTTTACCTTTAATATATTTAGCAAAAAACCATGTGAAAAGTGACTTAAATGGGATTTTTTAACATTCCAGACTTGTATGTGTACTGTTTTAAAAATAAGATATTGGAATGAATTTCATTCCTGAAATTCCAGTGAGTATTAATTCTACATGATAGAGTAATTGTGCCTTTAAATCCTGAGATTTCTGTTTCTGGATTTCCAGGGTCCATTCATCTATATGTGCAGTGTTATAGGCCACCATAAGACTGCTTGAAATATCTCTCTCATCTCAGTAGTTTCATTTATTTGGGGACTACTTACAAAGGCTACCAGTGATCAACACTTAATATCAAAACCTTATACATAATATTTGGTGATTTAATCATAATAATTACCATATATGGGAAGAGTATGTAGCCAGAATCACGTTGCAGAGTGAGGGAAGAAATATGATCTGTATAGGTTATTTTCCCCAAAACTGCCTGGAAATTAAAATGTAAAGTATATCACTCTGATTTTTGCTACTTAAATGATGAATTGTCCTATGAATGTATTTTATGTGTTAATACAAAGCTTCCCTAGTGTGATAAGATTAATAAATATATACATGTCATCATTTGCAGCTTCACGAATAATAATACAATTTTTTGGTTTGGGTGGATTTTTTGCAATTTCTAGCTAAATATGCTGCGTATATGAAAGAGGAAATGGAAGTACCTTTAAGTCCTCCATGCAGGCAACAAAGGTGTCAGTTGAATTTTCTGTGTACAGAGCTCGAAGAAGAACCTCTTTCTGGTAACAGGTGATGAAAACTGTAATAAAATACTCTTAAATTAGTGCAAAAATAACTTTATTCTGTTAGTTGGTGGTCATATTCTTTTAGACAGTTGTATTTACTTTGTGTTTTGCTTTAAAGAAACTGGAGTGTTTTTAAAGAGAAGTTGCGCCCTCTGTATTTTGCTCACAGAGGGCACAATCCATATCTGTGACCTTCTTTCGGGGAGCTTGAAAAAGAAACCCATCCTTCTACTGTATAGCTCTCTCTCTCTTGCAAGGCGTAATAGCCTGAAAATACAGTTTCACTTTTGGAGCAGGCAACAATAGGTATTTGTGGAGCAACATCACCTACAAAATCTCCAGAAGGCATACAGTGCAAAAGTATTGTCCAAATTCTGGGGAAACGCAAACAACAATAGAATTTAAGCCTTTTCTCTCAGGCACATAAGCAGGATTTTTTCTTTCTCGTCTTGCTTGTGAGACTACCCTTTGTTCTGTTGCCATAGGCAGGAAGGATTTAAATATCCATTTTGGGAGGGGACAACAATCTACAGAGAATTCTTTTTCAGTGCTTGTTTGAATTCATGAGATACATGTACAGCCTTTGCGGTTCCTCTTATCCCTTTCTACTCACAGTGGTGTTGCATTAAGTGACCCTATATGTGCACAAGAAAACTTATCATGAATGGGTGAATGAATGAGTGAATGAGTAAGTGAGAAGTTTGGGGAAAAAAGCAGACCTTTTACGAAGTAATTTTGTAGAAATCAACTGGTTTTGAAATTCTGCAGATAATGCTGTTAAACTTCATACCTCCAAGTCTTGTTTTTATGTTCCTCTTAGTATTTTTATTACACAGACCTCTAGAGAATACTTAGAATGTTTAGTGTGGCAGTCAGAGAAGTACCAGGATAACGTGAAATCTCTTCTGCTAAAAGGTAAGCAGGTGTAGATTTTCTAATTGATGTTGAAGACTTCCACATATGTAGAGGCTATATAGTGGACAAAATGATGATATATTACTGAGCATATCTTTTCTTCAGCCCTTGAAATTTTTAGCTGGAGTAAGCCACCAAAGTTGGGATTATCTGATTATTATTTTTTTTTTTTTTAGTGTGGGTATACAATTATGTCTTTGACAACAAATAAGTCAGTCTGTCATGTATCCTTCCATGGAGATAATTTGAATAATATAAGGGATTTATTTCATTATGAAAATGTCCAGTTCACTACTACTAGCTTTTTTTTTAATGACTATGGTAATTGAAATATAGTAATAAGATCTACTGTAGTAACTCTTTTCTGTTAGCTGCTTATCCTTGAATATTATTTCAAACAGCTTCTGTAGAATAGTCCTGTTATAGGAAAACCAGTTATATGTTGACAACACCAGAGTACCTGTTAAGAAAAAAAATATATAAAAACAAAATAAGCCATGGATGGTTTCTGACAGCACCAGAATACTCTTCACTACTTTTTCATTTCATGTTATTCCCTTTTGTCTTACAAGTCTCAGGACTGAGTAAATGACCTGCTGCGTTCTCCAATTCATTTGTAAATTCATTTATAGTTGAAAATAATGTATAGTAGTCTCATTACTACTTAATTTAATTTTTTTGCAGGTAAGGATTATATTAAATGCTTGTGATTAGGAGAGGTAGACCCATTTGTAACCTGAGAAATACAACTATACATTAATAGAGCTGAAAAATTTTAACACACACACACACACACACACACACACACACACACTCAAAAAGAAAAAAGTACACTTGCTCTAATACTGTTAGCTGCTTTGCACCTAATTCCGTTAACGGACACAGAGTTGCTAATGAATGTATAACCAGGGGATATATGTAGTAGGTCACAAGTACTTGGGGGCTTTCATTTCCAAAATGACATTCTGTTTCTCAGTTATTAATATTATTTATTTATTTCTCTTTCTTCAGAGTGTCACACTGTTAAACTTACCTGTCAGCATCATTCGCTTGCAGAACTGAGAGAAGTGCTATCTGTTGGCATAGAAACACCAATGCTTAGCTCACTGGAAGTGGACTGGTGGCTTCATTTAGGATTAAATCCGATCTCCTTAGAGACCTTAGAGCAATTAAGTCTAGATTCCAGTAGTACAAATAGTTTTTTTCCTGCAGAAGCGGAAACATTCTCCCTGTTTACATCTTGTCAGCTAGAATGTAAGTATTGGGGGAGGGGTTCAAAAGGTTTTAGTGGTAAAAAGGCAAGGATAGATACTTCAATAGAAAATCGCACAGTGGCAGTCATATCCCTCCTACAAGGTAGGTGTGAAGATTTCATATTCTCAAGAATAAAATATATTACAGCAATATAAAGTAAAAACTCTACTATGTTGAGATCTTTTGCTTTTGGAAAGTTGGAGCAAATTGAAAGGACAAAAACCTATATTTAACCTCCTACAAAGTTATCCTTTCTATTAATAAAACCACAAACGCAAAAAAAAAAAAAAGGAGCTCCCCCCAGCCATATTTATTAACAAAGTAGTCACATACGGCAAGAGTTCTTAATGAACAGTAATTACATATTCAAATTATATATTATTCTTGCTAAATGATCATGCTATAACATTGAATATTTTGATAAAGCAAACATTCATGTTGTCCTGCCTGCTCAAACGCCAGTGGAGGGAATATGCTACAGTGAAGATTCTTTATTTTATGATGTTACTCAGAATTTTTTGGTTCTGGTTATAGTTTTAAGGATTTGAACCACTGATACACTTCAGAATTTCTCCTGGGCCACAATACATACTTATTATCAAGCTTCAACAAAAAATACTAAAAGATCACAGAATCACAGAATGGTTCAGGTTGGAAGGGACCTCTAGAGAACATCTAGTCCAACCTCCCTGCTCAAGAAGGGTCCTCTAGAGCTGAGATTGTTTAAATTTTGTCAGAATAACTGCACCATGGCTGCAAGGCACAAATCATGTGTGTAGAAAACCGAGGAGTGACAGATTGCAATTTCAAAAATGTAACATACTGTGCTGCAGATAGGTAGGTACTGCTCTAATGGAAGAACATTGCCACTTAACTGCTGTTTACGTATTGCAAAATGTTTAGATATGTGCATACATAGATAACATGGATGTGCAGCAGAAATGCACATGGTTACTGCTTTGGTAAAGCACATCTTTAGAAGGCAGTAATTGCATGCCTTATTTCTCTTTTTTCCTCTTAGAAGGCTTCTGTTAAGCATTTAACCTTTCTTTCTAATCAAACTCTTTGCTTCCCTCTTCTTAGAAAGATAACACCAATATGTACCAAACAGATGGTGAAATTTTTTCAAATCAGTAGTGTAACCTTCTGTTTTCTCAATGTTGCAGATTTTGACTTGTGAATAATCAGCACAAATGTTCTAAAAGTAGGTTACAACAATCTGGGAAGGCAGAAAGACAAAATAAAAAAATGTTTTCTCTATAATCAATCCAAAATAGTATCCTGCAGCCCAGAAGGAAAAAAAATCCATTTTGCAATGCAGAAATCAAATTTTATCTTTTAGGGTGGCTTGAGGAGAAGAATTCCATGGCAAGCTGGGAATTGCTTTCTGCTGAAAAACATCGACTGGACAAAATAACTCATCTTTACATGTCACCTCCGACTAAAAGGCAGCACTTTCCCCTGCATGTGAGTGGTGCATCTTCTGTGAGAATACAGAAAACATCTGCATCAACATCCATAGAAGAGCTTACTGGAGAAGGCATACAAATAAGTGAGGAAGAAGAACCTATTTATTTCTTAAATCAAGAAAAGAAAATCTCAAAACCGCTTGAATCAGTCGGCTGTGAAAATGTATCTTTCAAACAAGACAATTCACACAGGAGCCTAAAGCCATCATCAGTTGCCCTAGCAACAAAATGGGACGATGATGATTCTGATCTTCTGAGCAGCTTTATCATACTGAGATCTAAACAGACGTTGACCCTAAGCGAGAGGAAAAATGACATAGATAGTCCTGAAAAGGGTATGTGAACCGGTTTATTATGGCTTAATTCCAATTTTAGTTGTATTCTTTTACAACAATTAAAATAGATACTAGTTCATGCTAGGAGAATCACAGGAGTAAAAATTATTTGAAGGCAATGGTAGCCTTCTTATGGTCTTTTGTGTGGGCAAATTTCATCTAAGGATCATACCTTTAGTTTTTCCTTTAGATATTTTAGTTAGTTTGCTTATCTGTTGTAATAAAATAAGCATATGAGTTTAGTCCTGTTCTGAGAAGCAACTCTAAATGGTACTTTGTTACTCTAGAAGATCTGTTCTGTTCACATTTTTTGAATTAGATCTCCTGGCATTCATGGAAAAACAGTAGTTATCAATTACTTTTTACTCTTAGCTTTCTAGAACCAGCATAGCCTAGGGAATGAGCAAAGGTTACGTTTCTTCCTTAAAAAGAACTATTTTAGCCTGTTATTGTGGTGAAAACCCCATCAAACGATGGTGGAGAACAGGTGTTAATGGAAACAGAAGGTTGTTTGCAGGCCTAGTATCACCGATAACAATGTTTATGAAGGAAGTGCGGGCATCCCAGGTTGAGCATGGCAAGAATGGAAAATAGGAGTGAGGAAAAAGAAATAGGAGATTTTTAAGGAGAATATTCATCTAAATAGAAGAATATTTGTTAAAATCAAAAGGTATATTTATAACAGAAAATATGGGGAGAGAATGGCATATTTCCAGATTCACTCTCCGGGGTAAAGTTGTATTAAAAAGAAAATTTTGCATGGTTTGGATCTCGTATAGCAGAGCTTTTGACAATAACTTTTATCTGTTTGCATTATATGCCCCAGCATAAAAAGAATTTATTACATAAAGAATTTCAGCAATAATTGGGTTATCTATTTAGCTATGCGCTTATGTAATCTTATGTAACAAATTATTTCTGGGTAAAATTCGTCTGTTATTGATGCTCGTAGACATGAAAAACTTTCATGGCCTCAGAAAGTAACAATCCTGCTTTGTAAAGTACAAGATCAAGATATCTGATCTGAAGTCTTATGTTACCACCTAGTGAACTCTGAGTAGAACTGCATCTCCTAAAAAAGAAAACTACGAATGAAGTAAAAGGCAAACCATCTATGTTGCGTTTAGAAATAAAAGGCAAATAGGTGGTGGGAGTTTAAGCAAGTTAAATGTAGTATAAAAAGGTAGATGTTTACAGGTAGACCCCATTATTGCATATCAGTGATGTATGATATATAGAGAACCCATTGAAATGTATAGCTGTCAGCACAGTGATATAGAAATCACGTAAATTGTTTTATAATATTTGAAAGAATTAATATTTCTTATAAAGGGTGGTTGTAAAAATAACTGACGAAATAACAATACTAATTCTAGGCCTGGGGGTTTTTTAGCTTATTTTTAAGCATGCCATTTTGTATAATATTTAGCTTAGAAATTATAAGGGAGGAATGTAGTAAAAATAATGTATTGACCTAATTTTGAATCCTGTAGAGTTTTTTAAAATCAGGAGGATTTTTAAACTTAATCTAAAAAAAATTAGTTTTATGTTTTTCTTCTCTCAGCTTATTTACTGAGGAAACTGGAATTCATAGCTAAAAATAATCAGTATGTTTAGGAGCCAGCTATCCAGCCACAACCCCTCTCAGAAATAAAGAGGTAGAGCTGCCAAAGGAATCTTGTGGGAAGAAGCTGTAGCTAGTGAATCCATATTTATAAGGAAGAAGGGAACAAGCTGTTGAATGCTGGGGAGTTGTAAAAGATAGCTCTAAGAAGTGAGAACAGGTTCTTTTCAATACACAATTTCCTTCTTTTATCTTTTCTGACATTTGGAGCTTCCACATTCTTTCTGGGTCATTCATGGTATCTAACATTTTCTATCCATGCCACTGAGGTATTTTTCTTCATTCAGCGGAGCTCATTATACTTAGCAACAGCTTATTTGCTCTTATGCATGTTTTCTCTCTATATAAAGCCATATGAGCTTGACCGTAGAGCTAACCTGTAGAGCCATAATAAGAGCTCCTTGACAGCTCCTTTTCCCAGCTCTGTACCTTTCACCTAAGGGAGAGGAGGCTGACAGCACCTGACTTCCTGGGAAACATCACCCGCTCTGAATCATGGTGCTCTTTCCAGAGTATACAGTAACATGAGGACAGTAAAGCTCATGAAAAAAATTGCGATGTGTGCCATTGAAACTACTTCATTTGAAAAGTTATTTTTATGCAGTCATCTGTAAACTAGTACTCTTATTAATTGAGCTGATCTCGTGATACTTGTATCTAAATGTTCACCTGTGATTTCATGACAGTAGTGCAGTTTGAAGAAGAGCCTTTGCATGTTCACAAAGAGGACAGTTCTGTTTGCAAGACTGTAACAATACAAAAAACAGAGCAGGAAAAAGAAAACAGCATCACAGTCGATATTCAAGCATCAGGTATACAATTTTTGGATACGCCATATCTTAGTATTGCAGTATAATAGAATTGTATATTAAATTATGTCACACAAAACAAATGTGAAAATTGGTAGGCTTAGTCTCTGTTGCTTATGACTGAAAGCATTCAAAATAGATGGATATTTATTTTGATACTGATCACAGGCAAACTGAAAAGTACAGCCTTTGAGTTATGCCCAAACTAAGTCACCTGACATGAAGTCTCTTCATGCCGATCCATCCCCCTAAATTCTTAATCTTCATTTTTTTCTCTGAGAGCCTAAACGAACGAATTGGGAAGGAGAATAACAATGAGTTTGGTAGGAAATTTCTTTAAAGCAGTAACAATCCAATATGAGTTTATTCAGTAAGTGACTGAACATTACCCGGTGAACTCTTGCTATTGTACTTTTCAAGGCATTATATCAAGGAATATGCATTTAGAATACTAAGTTTTGCATTGTTGGGCGGTGAAAATGGTGGAGAAGCACTTAGAAGGTGTTTATCCACGGTATTTTACAGCCTTAATGTAAGCACATTACAAGAAAGTACAAGTTTTAGGCCTGATACAGATTGATTTTTGCATGGAAATGCATTCACGTCACCCATTTGCTTAAGGAGAGTGTCCTTCACAAAGCCGGTAAAAGACTTGAGCAGCATTTTCATCTGTTTCCAGTTGTGAAACGGGTTTATGAAGTATCACGTAATGGCTGTAAACTTAGGTTTTAAGAGTTGTTTCTATGATTTTGGGAACAAGGCGCCTTTAATACAACTAACAAAAAATTAAAGCTTTTCAGTAGTCAAAACAAAAACTAGCATTTTGCAAAGATAATATTTAATGGGCTTGAATGTCATGCAACAGTCCTTGAAATGAAGGCTCCATCGTAGCCTTGCACATGAAGGAAGGAAATATTTCTGAAAAACAAGCTATAGACAAAACAGCAGTTAGAAAGATTCACACAGGCATTTTTCTTAACAATAGAACAGTAAAGATACATGACTAGAAATATGCTTTGAAAATAAAACAATACATTAATACAAGAATGCTTCCAAAATACTGTAGCATCTGGCCTAATTCCAGAAAGGATGAAAATCAGGATGGAATAATATACACCTTTTTTATTTTAGAATGCTTATGTAAGTTAATTAATTGTACTTAGGAAATAGTGCAATGACTAAGTGAAATCAGCTACTAGTCAAATTGTATGACTATATAGGTCATTTGATTATATTTCTGAAAAGACATAGTAAATCTTTGAAAATGAACAATCACTGAGTTCTGATTTTGTTGATATGATGAACTAAGCTATAATACTGAGTATATTAAAAAGTTGGTGCTGAGGAGTTTAACCTGTTTCCCTGTGGAAAAGAACATCCCTTTCCCCTCGTACAGCATTAAACAGCTCTGTTACTTTGCTATCATGTATTCTAGTAGCAAGAAACTCAGTTGTAATTTAGAAGGAGCTACAAAATACCCAGCCAGAAGCTATTAAGAATTGTCAGCATGAAAGAATGATGAGACTAAAAGCTTGGCTTGCTTAGCCTTGCTAAACAAAGACATCAGAAGTTAAATATCAGTGAAGGAGAAGGGATGTTGAAGTCAAATTTATACTAACAAAGGGATATCAAATGGACTAAGAATAAGTTTACACTACAAAACAGGAGAAGGTTATAAAACAATGAAGTAGTAGTACAGTCTTAATAGGAGTTGCAAGGGTAGAAATTGTAATTTTTAAAGACGGAATTTGGTCACTTTATGAAATGGATAGAATAACACAGCTGTGTGTTTTGAGGAGTGGTTTAATTCTATGACAGAGGAGGTTCCCTGTGAGCATCTGTTTTCCTATTAAAGTTATAGCTTTCACAAAGAAGGTGGTGCCCCTTGCCATTTGCTAGGCCTTTTTAGTCCAGCAATAGTATTTTTGTCCAATAGTAGTATGTGAATCCAGACCTTATTGCCATGTTTTCTTTCTCGTGTCATCCAGAAAGCCAGTGTCAGGCGTACTGCCTATTGGAAGCTGCTGCTGCACCTGTTCTAAAAGATTTGACACATCTGGGCATACCTGCAGCTGTAAATTGGAGCTTTAGCAACGTTAAATTTGACCACACAAGGTTTTTTTTAAAACAGCAGGAGAAAGTGATAAGTGATCACTTTAAAGAAGGTATGTCTGTAGAACAACCAGGTGTTTTTCTTCTGCAATACTAATATTGGTTTACCTGGTGACACGTGGTTCGAGATGTTTGATAAATTAATGATAAGCTTTCAGCAGGGGGATACAGTAATCAATTAGCTCTTTTATTTCCAAAATAATTTGTTCTATTAGTATTTCATTTATTAACATAAATATTATCAAAAACTGTTCTAGTTAAGTTTCTAAGGAAGTTTTAGATATGCTTTAAAATGTTGTTAATATATCAAACTATTCTGTTTAATAGCAATTTTTATCACACTTGCATGATTACAGGGAAAATAAATGAAAAAAGCTAAGCCTGAGAAAGAAAAAAGGAGAATATAGTTTGTTTAGTCTCTTTCCACCTTCATTTTTCTCCTAAAAGGAGAAAAATTCCATTTTTCCGTTTTGTCATGGAAATTCCATTTCCATTTATTTTTATGGAGAAAAATCTCCATTTTTCTCTGCAAACTTTACAGAAGGAAAGAAGAATTTTATTTCTGGAAGATTCATAGAAAGATGGAGATGAGGAAGACACTAACGTATCCACTCCATTCCTAATGAATTTATTTATTTATGTAAATGTATAGAGACGCCACTGACTTCCCTGTTTTTAAATACTTCTGTTGTATCCAGTCTAATTCCTCTTTACTTCAAAGTATGCTGGGATTTTTTTCCTTCTCAATTCCCCAATGAACATAGAAAACAATTGTTCACAGCCTAGTTATGATGGTGTTGTTATATTAGAAGACTATTATTCCCCTGTTGGTCTTTTCTCTTACACTAAATATCACCAAGTTCTCCAGTCTTTCTTCATAAAACCTATTTTCTTACTGTCTTGTTGTTTTAATTCTAAATGTTCTGTATTCCACACTAAATGTTTAAATATTTACGGCAAGTGGTATCAACAACTGGACACATTCCTTCAGCTTTAGCACCATCACTGATGCAGAGGAACAATCACTTCCTTTGATTTGGTACAACATAGTGCCAAGGTCTTTGTCTGTTTCTCACTAATTCTCAAATTTGTACTTACAAGTTTGATTTTTCCTTCCTAAGCGCTTCACTTGTCTTTCTGAACTAAAAGCTATTATTGATCCCAGTACACGAAAGGGTTTGTTGAGAGCTAGCTAACATTTCTCTGTGTAATAATGCCTCTCTGAGTAATTCCTTAATCAGCTGTAGTCATTTATCTTCCCAACTATTTTTCAGTATCCTCTAATTTGCTTTCTTTTCTTAAGTTCACTTAGTCTACAGCATTCACATCTTTCCTTTCTTAAGACAATGAATGGTATCATCTCACAGTTGCAGTTCCCTTAAATGCCTTCAGTAATTCCTTGCTATTCAGTAACATCCTTACAGGTTTATTCAGAATGGATACAGAATACCCTGTATCCCATAAACTGATTGATTTACTCAGTGGATCTAAGATGTCCTCTAAATCTACTTTCTCAAAGATGATTAAGATTCTCATCAGGAAACATTAATTAGGTGTGAGGAAGGTGATATCAGAAGTTAAGACTTGGATCACTGGAGGACAGTAGGAATGATATACGTGAAGACTAGCTGGGTCCGAATCACTTTCTATGAAGTTAAATTCTAGTTTAAATTTTAATGAAAAGGTTTTGCAGAAGATTCAGTGTGAGGTTACCACTGTTTTAAAATTTCCTATTGGTTAGCAGATAATCTGTCATTTTGGTTTCTTTGGAACAGTTCTGAAAGGTTAGGAAAGCTAATTAGATGGAGTTATGGTATTACTGAAAATTTTAGGTGAGGAAATAGTAGTATGAACAGGTGGGCTTACATGGAGGGCCTGAAGGACAGGCAATTTATCCATTTCCATGCATAGTTGAAGCTTCCCTTACTGAAATCCATATGTCCATGAGGATTTATTAGTAGACCTAGGTCAATTGTTATCCAGCAAACACTGTCTGTCCCTACACACCTTTCAAAAACACTTCCCTGTACGTTATTTGCTCTGGGTCGGGTGACAAGGGAAAGGTTCTGCCATTTCATAGCCACTTGCCATCACCGTCACAGCCAGTCTTGCTGCTTAATTGTGTTTCACTAAAATTCTGAAAAATGAGGATCTGTTAAGATGTATACATAAGGATAGCATAATTTTTGAAGTTTTATACAGACCACATCTGTATCTTCTATTTATAAAGGTAAAATACATGAGAAAGAGACCATGCTGTTCAGACATGCTGCTCTGGTGCATCTGTTGGTGACTGTTCGAGACCTTCTTTTAACATGTGGCCTGGACACGGCATTAGGTTTGTTTTCAGAAGTGAAAAATACTACCCAGAATCCCAGTGCTTGGTGTATATTCTGCAGTCATTCCTTCATGTTTGTAAGCTCTGATTATTTGTCATCAGTAAACCTCCAACATAACTTCAGTTATGTTTTCCATACCCCTTTGCTTCCCTTTTTCTATTACATCTTAGACATGAATTCGCTTTCAGATTGTATGTTAACAGTGGGTATGCTCACTTCATTGTTTGTGTTATTACTTGGATCTGCCTAAGAAACACTCATGGGAACTTCATCCACATACATAATGTGTTTTCTCACTGTCTCTGTGAAAGACAAATTTACGTTGGAATGTCTGTCTGGAAACTGAGAGACACGCAAAAATGGCAGGTCCTCGTTGTTTTTACGATCCACCTTCTGAGTGACTGGAACAATTTCCATCTAAAAATATGTGTAGACTACTTGGAGATGAGGTACTTAAAACTGAGAGCATTTTAAGCAAAATATGAAATATTATTTAACATATCTTGGGGATGGAGATTTTAAAATTGCAGTTCAATTCTTATCATTAGGTTCACACAGAAGCTTTTTTGAGCTTTTTGCTATTATGCTTATCAGATTTAGGATATGACAATTTTTAGCACCTAATTTTATGCCTGAAATTGGGATACCGTGCTTGTCAAATTTCCATAGCCATATATTGTGAATTTTCACATAAATCTGTCAGAATAGATTCATAAGGGGATAAAGTCAGCTTTTATGAATGGCCTGGGAAAGTTAGACTCCCTCTGTCCTTATGGAAGGAGATAAGGCACACTAGATGGCAGTTCAGAGCACCTAACTTTAGTCACTCTGAATTATGCCTTGAAGGAGGATGTTTCTTTAAAATTGACATAAATGGAAAATATCTGTAGTAGACTAAACTGGAGGGGAGAAGATTTTGTATTGACTTCAATATATCTAGCAATAAAAGAGGGGGAAGAAAAATGTGAAATGAATACAAAAGTCAAGTTCTCAGCAGAATTTTTGTCTGAGATTAACCTTTAACAACCTAGCAGGATGGGAAGGAGACAAAGGAGCAGTTCTTCCTCCTCAGTTAGCAATCCTACATGATATTTCATGATTACACAGGACCTATCAATCCAGATCCCAGCAACGCCTGCCACAAGAAACTTTGCACAACTAAAAATGATCTGAGAAAAATTTTTTAAATTGGGCCACATAGGGAGTAAACAGATACTGAGATAGCCTTTAGTCCTCTCATGTTGTGATGTTATGCTAACATTCAGCACGTATGTGTTAGTCATGCATTTTGTTTATACATTTTCAAATATCCCTGACATTGGTCTATTTATACACAAAACACATCATTCTGGGATATCTGCCTGTTGAGAAATAGTTGTGATAATATGAACAGACTGGTGAAAGCCACAGCTGAGGTAGAGTTTTGGAGAGTGGAGAATATAAATAGTTGTAATTTAGCATAAGCCATATAGACTGGTTAAGTATAAGAGCACAATTCTGGTATCTGCAGTTGTAGAATGTGACATTCTATGATTCTGAGTGGAATCACACAGCAGATTTTGCAGGAGGTATAGCAACCTTCTAAGTGCCACTTGTGTACCTGATTAATAATAATGTTCTTCCATATTGATTAGTCGTTAAATTTTCAGCTTTTCTGAGTAAGTTACCTTCATGTAAATTTCTTCTTTAAGTGTAGATTAAATATAAATCTTGGCAAATATCTTATGTCACTGCAATTACTTTTTTTTGGTTGCTTTATTAACAGGATATTTGTCCAAGGTGAAGGATATCTATAACAACATCTTAGAATCCTGTTTGGATAAAATTTGGAGGCAGTTGAAGATTGTACAGTACAGCAGCCAGAAAAAGCATGAAACCAATCCCAAAATAACAGAGCTTCAGTGTCAAATGCTAAATTGCGTGCAAAGTAATAGAGAGGAACGCAGTGTTAAGGTTACAGATGTAAACAAATTTTCTAAGCAAACAAATCTTTGCCTAACTATAGCAATAATTATCAAAGCATTTTCTTTCAACGAGGGTTGGTTTATGGAAGGCATATGGAAGACGTCTTACAATTAGCTGGCTAATTCACATACCTGTTAAAGTTGGGTAACATAAAGTGTAAGATCTCTATTAGGAGCAATGAAGACTTGTGTTCCACTGGATCTCCCTTGCTGCAAGAGTGAAATAACCTGTATAAGATTTTAGCGTTGCAAGGGCTTCATATTATTACAGGTGTTTTTAGTTCCTTAAGTATACTACATCGCATCACTTTTTGAATATCAAACTTCTTGTTTGAAGACCTCAATTTTTTTCTGATGCAAGACATCCAGAGACAAGTCAAGACTGTGTACTTGTGCACACACACAGTGGAATGTATGCATATTCTCACCCAGACACCTCTACTTGACCTCTGTATCAGGCCAATTTCCTGCCATTATGTAAGAGGCAAATTCTCCTAAAAGATAGTTATAACACTGAAGATAGAGTTGTCAAGGAAATTCAAGTTATACATATTTTCTTAAATGTGCTACCTGTTTCGAATATAATTTATGCTGTTGAACACTCAGACAAAAAACACATCTTAAATTTTACTTTCATATATTATAATTCCTTTTCATACTTCCCTTTCTGGAGCTTTCTTCTTCTTTAGTTTCCATTAAAAGATTCGCACTAAGAGCTCTGGTCATATTTTGATAAAATTTTCCTGAGAAGAAAAAGAGAAGAGCTTAATGTACACCCTTTCAGAAGTTAAAATGAAAATGAAGCAAAATGTTGTTGACTGTTTTGTTGTCAGCCTTTCAGGACTCCCTCTCAGTTGCCTTTAGCATTAGTTTCTTCATCTTAAGGGAGTAACACGTTTTGCTTTCTGATACTAGGGTTTACGCTGTACTAGGGGACGTAGGACAGCTTTGCCATTTTTATCTCAGCCCAGTGATAGTTTTCCTTTGCTTCTGAACTCCATTAGATCTGATTTTTAACAGCAGATAACTCTCCTCAGTTTTCACTTGCTTGCCTGACTTAAGCAAGGTCATACACGTGTGCTTATGCAGCCTAAGAGTGTATATAGTTTTACTCACAATTACCAGACTGTGTACTATTCACTTACATTCAGAGACACTAGTTCAATGACCCAGAAAAGACAGAAGGAGTATTCCTGTTTTAATGAGAAGTAAAAGTTGCATTACATAAGCCATTTCCTGTTCTATCACATCACATCAGCATCAGTTAATATGATGTGAAATATAATAATCTGGTCATACTTTTATCAGCCAAAATTTTCATTGATGTAGGATTATAAAGGGAAGTTGCCTTGCAAGCAAGAAGTTGCTAAGAGAGAAGAATAAACATATTTGAAATAAGCATCTAGGCTTTACTCTTTATTTCATTATCATTTGTACTCATGATTGTGTAGAAAGAGGAGAACATCACCAAAATACCGTCTAGCTCACAACAGGATGTAGTAAGTACAATGTTGGATGGTACAGGAAAAAGCAGGTCAGCATTTTAGAATGCAACTATTCAAAACTTCTCCTTTGAAAGGAGCAAGTGGTTTGCCAAGTGACTGTTCTGTGCACCTAGATATGGAAATAGATGTCTATTTTAAGCTTGTCACGCAGACTGATACCCAGAAGTTCTTCTATGACAAGTCTAGCGTAGTGTTAACATTTACGTAAATAATTTTTTTGTGCTTATAAGTCTTAGAGTTAGAAATGCCGTGTGCCTTCTTAAACAACTAATCCATGGCATGTAGCGTGAAAAGTGCCTGTAAGATGGCATACAGATTCAAAGATCGTCCTATCTGAAACAGAAGATATGATGTAAGTCCTGTATGTGTGTACATGTGCTTCTTTACATAGTTTGATAATATAGCACAGGTTCAGTTTGTGTCACTTGAGTTGTTGGACAAGGTAAACCCTTTCTCCACTAGCAATTCTTTTCAAAAGTATCTGCAATTTGGTAGATGCGAATTCTTTTCAAAGTTTTCATCTTAAGCGGTATTAAATAAGTCATAGAGATAAACTTTATCTTTAACAGGTACAATTCAGTGCACCGCGTTTAATCTGGAAAATCTTGCCAATCAGCTCAGCAGTACATCTAGTACCTCCCTTCAGTTCATCACCATCTTGCAGGCTAAATTCCTGATGTCTTCAGTTAAAGTTTTGCCTCCATCTGGGGATCAGTTTGGTCTGATAGTCTCATCTTTTCCCATAATCACTCTACTGTGACAGTAGTCTCTCTAGTGTAACAGTAATAATACGGTACAATGTCTTTAGAAAATGTATTTTAAAAGTATTTTTCTTTGAAGTAAATGTTCAAGTTTAAGATTTCTTCCAGAACAGCTTTGTTCTTGAATTCTAGTACTGATGTCTTTTCTCCAGCTCCTGTAATAATAGGCACAGACACTTACATTCTTCTGGAAAATTCGAAAGTTTACATTTTTGCTCTCTGCTAAGTCAGCCTTGTATTTTCTGTGCAAAGGAGGAAGAAAGATGTATGCAGACTGAAAGTACAATTTTTACAGTGCTAGAGTTTCTGCCTTCTTTCAGATACTAATCATAACAAGAACGGACTCCGATAGCGAAAAGGCTGCCCTCCTTCACAGTTTATCCACAGTGGCAGGTCATTCTGTGGTTCACTACACTCCTGCTTATGTGTTTTTTGCCTGTATCACTCCTTGTCCTCTTCCTCAGATATATTTGTGTATACTTTTCTAACTATTTTCTGTCTCCTGACTCTTCCATCTTCCTTTTTTCTTCATGTCATTGTAGTTTCCCAGTTTAGAGTTCTGGTATGATGTGTTCTCTTGCAAGAGTAATGATAGCTTATCTATCAAGTCAAAGATTTAGTTAACAGAACACACAGGGGATGTGGGCAGTCCATTGCCTAATTATAATTGCATTAGTTCTCTCGGTCGGCTGTCCCTTTTTTTTTTGCTTGAGCGGTGGTCATAATTTTTCTTATTTACATGCTTCCCAACAGCAATCCCAGGCAAATTCAGAAATCCTAACTTTAAGTTTCCTAACATAAAACCCGAACTGAGCAGTAGGTGCATGTCATGATTCCCCTTAGCTATCTGTTGTTAATCTTGTTTGTTAATTTGCTGAATGTGTAAGCCTAAGCTGTTCCAATCTATTAAACTCAAAAAAAGTTTCCTGTTTCCCAGGCTGACTGACCAAAGCAACACTTAGACCAGTTGATCATTTTACCTATGAGTAACTTTTGTACAAGCTTTTTCACATCAGAGATTCAACTGGCAAAGCGAACACGTTTCAGTAAGAGTGTTATTTGAGCCTGTACTTATGCCTACAGAAGCCTGCTGAATCTATCCTTCATTGTTTATTTTTTTAACCCATTTTTATAGGTCCTGCTGGATTGAGCCTTATCAACAACGTCATATATTGTGATGTTCTTTTCATTTCAACATAACGTTAAATTTCTTGTGCTCTTAAAAGATAAAAATTCTACCTTGCAGAATATTTTGATAGGGTGGAGGCATGTTTGCAATGCTTTCAGTAATTATAATATTTGGTGAAAACTATTCGATTTGTTTTAACATTTTAAGACTTAGTTACAAGCACAGATCAAGGTTAACTAAACTTTTGAAGAGAGGCATATGGGTTACTCAAATATCCCATATTAGCTGCATCTTCCAGTCATGTTTTTGTAACTTGAACTCTACAAGCAGTGTAAAGCAATTTTAAAAATCGACTTACGGGGCAAAAAATACTTCATTTTGCACCAGTCTTTGATTTGTCATTTAAAGTTATTCAGAAGTATTACCTGAGTATGAACTAGCTTAGCCTTACTTCTTCCTTAGGCTCAAAAATGGAAGTCTCCAAATCATTGTACTTTCCAGTGCAATTCAAACTGAAATTATGTGGGACCTTCTCAAGACAGACAATGTAATACATAGAATTTAAATATTCTGTGTTGTTCCACATTTATTGCTTATTGCTGTGCATTGCTTTATACTAGTAGAAGTTAATGTATTTGATTGAGGCTTTAATTCTTTTTATGCAGGTTTAAAAGCCATGGATTTGAATTCTGAGGAAAAAGGAGCTCTTTTAGATTATAAAAATATTATAAACAAGTAAGTTAAATTCCTGACTTTTGAGGACATAGCGTGAAGCTAACTTTAGTGAAATTTTTGTTCACATCCATGTTCATATCCAGTCTAGAGTAAAAGTTTCAGAATATGGAGCTAAAACTCCATTCTGAGAGGTGAGAAGTTTGGCCAAACTCAACTAAAATGCTTAGGCAGATGGCTGGCAGGCCCTTCCGGCGCTATCAGTTCTAAACGTTTTACAAAGACTCCTCAGTGAGGAAAAAGGCTGTAGTGTTGTGATAACGCCAAATTATGAAATTGCAGGAAAATATGAACATTTTAGGTAGATAATTGGACTGAGAAGGGAAAGTAAAAAGGAGAATTACAGTTTTTAATTCGGGAACGTACTTTCTCTTTTGTAAATAGGCTTTAAAAAGGAACACTTCAAAGTAAAAATATATTGATTTTGTTCTGCCAGTAGTTATACATGAACATAATTTTCTTAATTTTTCTGCTGTTTTTTTTAAGCCTCAGCAGATATTTCTGTGTTATTGTACGCAATCAGCATATTGGAGCAGACTTCCCTTGGACACACTTCTCATTAGTGATTGAATATGATTATTCCAAGGACTCCTGCTGGAAAAATCTGTGCAAAAATCTGAATATTACTTACATGACTTTTAAAACCACCCTTCCTGAAAGAATACTAATGGGTAAGTGCTCCCCAGAATTGTAACAAAGAGTTGGTCTGGCATCTGGAAGCAAAGTATTTTGTATTCTTTGAAATGGTTAATTCCTGTGCCTGTGGAAGAGAATGAATAATAAATTCTGAAGGCTAAAGCTAAGCCAACAGAGCTGATTTATCTCCTGAACTACGCTGTCAGTTAGGAAGGTATTTTTCTTAGGAGATGAGCTTTGTTTTGGCCGGTAAAGGACACTTTGTTACGTAGTAAAGGTTAGTGATCTGTTACAAAACAGTTTGTCGGTTATTTACCACCGATGCAAGCTGTATCCACCCTTCCTCACTATAAGGGAATATTGCTGCAGATCTACAGGAGTAAAAGTTACAAATTAATCCAAAAAGGATTCAGAAGTGTCTCATTCATAGAAAGCATAAAATGCAAGCATTTTTATCGGTTTGAATAAGAAGCTGTATTTTTATCCATGTGGATATATCTTCTAAAAATATATTTTTAATTTTCTGCTTATGAAGCTATTACCTTATGTACACAAAATGTTTTAGGGGATCACCATGGTTCTTTTCTTCTGGAGGTGCAGATTCCCTATGTATTTTTGACATCTGAAGGACTTGTTAACATGCCAGATATCCTTCAGCTTTTGGAATCCAAGTGAGTGAAAATGACCTATTTAATTTTATTGACTATTTATTTTCCATTTTCCAGGACAAGCGTCATCTATTTGGCTATAAGGCATCTACGTGTTACTGCAATTAAAATATTAACATTGCAAGAGGCAAGAAGATAATTTTTATGCTGAAGCTGATAGCTTAATTCTGTAGGTTCATACAGATGTCAACCAGAGCAGAACTGGCCAATTTCTTAATTTTAATGATGAGCTGAGACTTTTAATCAAAACAACTTTTTAAATTATCAACCTTTCCTTGAAAACCACAATATAGACCCAAAACATTTTTGCCTGAGTGCTTCTTTGTGCTTGGAAGAGTTTATATCGTGAGTTTGTTTTTAATTCTTCATAAAAATTGCTTTTACTTTTTTTTAAACTATCAGCACTCTGCTAAAAAAGCACAAACTAAAACAGTCTCATTTTCTGATGCTGCACAGAATTCAGGAAAGGATAAGTTAAGAACAGGAACTACTTCATATGTGAAATTCAGATTTAATATTAGCTTAATCTTGAATAACCCTTCCACTTGCACAAAAAAAATTCATCTTCGAAAATTGTTGCACAAATTACTCCTTTGACATAATTTTCTTGCATTTTGCTTTCTCAAAAGTATACACCTATTAAAAATACCTTTTGTCATGAAGAAAAAAAAAAGGCAGAAATAGAGGTTGTAGCAGTTTAGTCTCCTAAACTTAGTGTCAGAGATACAGAGAGTTGATTTCACCAGGCTGCTGAAGAGACTTGCCCATTTGGACATTAATTGTATCCTACAGCCAGCTGTGAAGTCACTTTTGAGCTGTTTCTAATTACATTTCAATACACTATACACATTTAGAAGTTTAATAGTTAAAATTTGAACATTTAATTTGACATGGTGTGTTAACGATTGAGCTCTTCAAATTCACCATTCAGCCTGGCTGTAAGTGAAACAGTCAGGGATGCTTTTCGGTTCTTTTTCACTAGACCTCTTAGCACTGATGAAATAATTAAATAGGGGAGCAAAGAGCTATGTAATTTCAGAGGAACCTATAGCATACTTTTTTATTAATTTCTGGACACATTGTCTGTCAAGTTTCTATGAGACTCTGGTGGCAGATTCAGGTTTAGGACCCTTGCATTTCCTGGAGATTGAGTGTGTGTGACTGTTCTCTGTTCTCTACTTCCCTCTTCATCAGCCAAGACTTCCCGAAAACCATAAGCAAGAGATATTCATTAAGTGAATCTTCTGCTAGCACAGCCAGTAAAAGGAGACTTTGATCAGAAAAATTTAGGATCATGCAAATGGCAGACAGGGAACATTCACTCAATTAGTTTTCGTGTGCTGCACAATCATGAGGAAAAGAGATATAGTTTTAATTAGAAAAGAAGGGCTAATCATCAGGAGATCCTATTACTAAAAGCGTTTTCACTTTCAAAAGAAACACAATTACTCCAAGAAATGACTTTAATTACTCGAAGAGATATTAACGGGATTTCAATTGTCACTCCATAAACTTCAGCATAGGTGATTTTCCTTGATTAATTTATCTGTATTAGCTTCTATAGTATATCATAATTTTTTGTGCACTCACTGGCTGTGTAGCAAAGTAATATTCTGTTCAGTTAGTTTAATTCAATCAATCTCGTAATATTTGAATAAGTCGCTGCCACATTAATGTTCGTTATTTGAATGTGTTTTAACTTAAAGTGAACCCGGGGATTTGAGAGAGATCAAGGTACAGTAAACGCTACATAATTTTAAAAATTTTATGAAAAGTTGCATGTTACTCATTTGCTTTAAGGACATGTCATTGGTTTACTTAATTAAGATTTAGTAACAGGATTTGACTTCTACAGGTACAACATTACCCTTGTTGAAAGAAGCTGTAGTCACTCATTACGGCTCTTTGGAAGTACAGATCAATATGTTGTTTTGACAATAGATGAATATACTGCTGTCTTTTTGCAGGTACAGAATGAACCTAGTATATCCAAATTCTACACAGTGTTAAGGCACTTCCAAGTCATCTCTGCATCCTTCTAACCTATCTTTTGTTCCTCTTAATCATATGGAATGCATGCATTCTGTCATGACACAAATTATTTCCGAGTTCATTATCTCCAAAAGTGTGTCTGTGCCAGTTTGATTTGTTTAAAACGTTCTCCTATCTGTACCTCCATTTCCTCTCAGAAGTGTTACATGTGAGCTCAAATTGAATTGCGCTAAATATTGTTAAAGCATATCTAAACTTGAAAGTAGGGTTGTATGCGGGAATATTGTAATAACCGATCAAGTACCAGTGAGGCTACATAGTCTCACTGGTATACTTGTTAATTTCTTCAGTTTCAGAAAGTTATCTAAATAAGTCTAGGGAATAATTTTCCCTATTTTTTATAATAAGTAACAGCTTGAATAATAGTTTTAAATGGTTTATAAAATGCAAAACAAGACCATGTCTGGTTGAGGTTGCATAATACTTAAATTCTGTTCATATATTATGTAGTGAGATAGATGACTTTACAAATAGCACAACTGATTCTGAAGGACATATCAAGAATAAAATAATTAAATAATTAAATAATTAAAAGAATAAAAAAATTACTGCTGCAATCACAACACAGATGAACATTCTCATGTGGTAGCATTTAGCAGGTAGTACCTCCATTTTACAGAAAAGAAACAGGCATGAAGCAGTCAATCAGTTTTTCAAAGGTCATACAGAATAAGTTGGGAACGCATCCTCGTTGTCATGACTTCCAGATGTGTCTGGCTACCTCTAATGTTTGTTCTCATTTCTGTATAATACAGTGATGCACATTAAAGTGTTGCAACGCTACGGAAATATATTTCTTTAGTTTTTAATTTTTATATTAATTTTATGTTAGAATATGGATGAACTAAATTATAAGAAGTCCTGTGATAATGTAATGTTGAAACTGATAGCGTTATCGCTCCAATACACCTGCTGTTGGATTATCTTCTACTCCAGAGAAAGACTGAGTTCAGAGAAAGTTAAAAGACATTATTTTACAACCTTAGTCTTTTAAAACAAACTTATCACTAAAGGAAGCTGCATACTAGAACAAGATAATATCCTTTGTTTTGTCTTCTCAGTCCTTTTGTATCAGGGCCGACTTTTTTTCACTCACTTATGAAACCTGACTTCATATTCTTCCTTACAATGCATCCTTCACTACTCAGTTACGTAACTATATTCTAGTTCTCCTTTCACAGATATTAATGCTGAAGGCACTGTAGCTAGTATTCTAAATTCCAGGAGATTAAACAGATGTTCATTATCACATGCAGCAAATGTTTTTGAATTATTACATGCTTGTATTTAATATTAATGGTCCAATGAAAATATGTTATAGGTACAGTCTCAGGGGAGATACTGTGCTTCACCTCATCTTAATTTATGCTGCTTTGGTTCAATTTGCACAGAGGTCAGAAGACTTTGAAGTAAAGGTAATTTTTTGGTAACAGTCTACTTACAAGTCTGTTTTAATCTTTACTGGTGTGATACTTGCAAATTGTGTAATAACGTATACATTCTACATCAAAAACAGGAAGTAGCTCAACATTATTAACGTAACTCTTTCTATATATGTGTGTGTGTGTACACACACACACACACACACACACACACACACACACACACACGTAACAAAGGAGCTTAATTCAGTACCGCTGAAGTCAGTGAAAAGACTAGTCGACCCTAGTACAAGTTGAATCACATTCCATAGTAGCTGAAAACAGTGTTTGTACTGCTAGAAGTTAAGAAACTATATTGTTCCTTTAATTTTTAAATGATTAGTGTGTGTGTTAATTCTCCTTATGCCTTAATTTTAATTATTTTCAGATTAATAGCATGCTATTAAATTAGCAGAAGAAAATAATGTGTAGCTCTCTCTACTGTATCAGCTAGTTTGCATGATTTTATTACATACCATGATAAAATGCTTATTTTATTTTTTTCTTTAGAAATAAAAAAATCTAATATTTAGAACAAGAGACATTAAAAATTGGGCAAAAGTTTCATCTGGCTCACCAAGTTAATGTCTATAACTTGTTTTTTTTGCATGACATGACATCTTTTATAGGTGATTATTTATTTGCATATTAAAATTTATTTAACAATTGTCTAGTTAAATGGAGGCTAGAAAGAAGACAAAGCTTTTTCATTCCAAGCAGTAGTGTACAAGCAGTGTCAGTGACAGTTCATTTGAAAATTACTTACATCAATATATATATGTAGTCAAATATCTTAATTTCTTTAAACTTGTTCTATTTTAGGCATCTCATATTTTCCTGTTTTGTTAGGAACTGTGTTATAGCTATAAACTTGATCATATATGGCAGGCCTATAGGTGGAACTAACTTCAACTACATAAGATTTGCATAAATAAGGAGCGTCATTTGGAGCCAGAGTAGTGGTCAGAGGTTGGATTTCTACCATGTGACATGCATGGGTCAGCTTCAGTGACCCTGCATTACTAGCTGTTGTGTTCAGGGCCAACTTTAAGCTTTCCCATTTGTTACCTACTGTAGCCAGTTAAGACATTTGTGGTTTTACTCCTTAGTATAAATGTTAATCAAAAATACTGTGTCAATTCTAGGTGGTTCTTATGCCAGGGATTGAGGAAACAGCGCTACTAGTTCGTCAGATTGCTGACAACATTTTGGTAGCGTCTGATATCAATCCTCATGAGTGGCTGGACAGATCCTGGCTTTCTATCTTGCCGTCTGAGGTTTGCTTATCTTTCTCTTGAATTACACTGTTTTCTTCCTGTTTCTAAGACTCGGAGTTCTAGGGGCCTTTTTGTTCTTTTATTTTTTCACATCGTTTGTGCTTTAAAATACAAGTATAATATAGCAATAAACATAATATAAACACACATGCATAATATTTCAGTCATCCACCAGCCAGTTAGTCCAGCCAGCACAATCAGGTGCAATTTAGACTCTGCCTGTGCTTTCACAATTAACCAAGAGAGAAGTGTCTCTTCCACATCTGTAGGCTGATGCATAGAATCGCATACTTCTAGGCACTAAGTGTGAAAAACTGTCCAAGTTGTAAAAATTATCCTGCAGTGGCTTTAATGGGCAGGAAAACAGATTCATCCGTTACTGAAGCCAATGGAGTTGATTATAGACTTGCCTTAGCACAAAATAGGGTGTATTTGCTTAACTTCACATATCATAGTTGTAGATATTCACAATAAATGATGGAACAGGTCAGTCAATCACAAGTTAAATATATGATGTGCTTTAACTTGTATAATAAGATTTTCAAATTGAATGTATAAATTTAGCCATTTTAAGCACATTTGTGTGAAAGGTTTGAACTCTTGTAAAGCCAAGATCCTTTTTAGCTTTTGCAAAACTTGGAAATACTTTAAAGCAGGTTTTGGCACTGCCTGTCAAGCGTGAGGTACTGGATTATAGCTTTTCCAAGTCAAAGGTTAAGGATACTGGTAAAAACTCGGAGAAGTAGTTGGTTGTATCTTGTCTCTGTTCAAGGTATTGGATCCTGGCTTCTGTTGAGTGTAGAGCTCTATGGAAGTCGGGAATGGGACGCTGCCATTCTTAAATGCTACAGTAGCTCTCAACTGAGAGGACTTCATGTGACATTCAGCCTGCCCTGGTGCTATATTTGGCACCGGTTGCGTAGCGGTTTTAAAATGTAACTACTTTGCAAGACAAAAACAGCTTTCTCAGCTTATCTTAAATAATCCTCTTAAATGGAGAATAAACATGAGAATTCAGTAAATCTGGGAAATGGATTTTGAAATCAAGTTTACATGGTCCACTGTTTCCATCCTTAATTATAGAAATGTCTCTTGGCTGTGCTTCCTTTCTACCAAACTACTGTGCAAAAGTTACTCTTTTGCAAGAGCGATACTATGTTTGTAGCAAAAAAAAAGAATGTTCAAATCCAAATCTAACAATATTACTTCCATTTCTAGACAGAGAAATGCCTGCTTACTTTTCCGTGTATCAACCCTCTAGTTGCTCAGATTATGTTAAAGAAGGGATTTTCACTGAAGAGGCTGTTTCTCGCAAGCTTTGATCAACTTCAGGAACTCCTGCCACAAGTTCCAAAAAAAGTTTTAAAGGTTGGCCAAAATTAATTTAAGTGGTAGAGCAGCATTTTTTCGTTATCATAATGTGGATTTTTATCTGAAACTACATGTCTATTCCTCATATCATTTAGAAAATTAAAGAAATAGCATTTTATAACTGTCATTGCTTTAGTGTATCATTATCCATATAAAAACTGATAGGTCTGCTAATTCTCAACAGAATTTGTCGAGTCATCACTGTGTTCATGTGAAGGTTATTAGAACATTTCCTTAACTTGGAAAATATTCCGTTGATCAGCTTCCTCTTCAGGCTTCTTAGTATCAAGTATGCTATCAGCATGCAAGCCTCTATGTTTTCCTAATGCAAGAGACCTTTTCTGATGAAATGTTTCCAAAATGTTTTTACTTCCTTTTTTTCATATAAGCCTTCCTTACACAACAATATATCCATCTCTCGCAAATTCATAGTACTAAGCATTTGAAAAAAGTCCTAGAGAGTAAGATGAAGAATTCTGTCCAGAAGAGTCCACTCTGCAGTTAGAACTGTGTGCTCCTGCCGTTTCATTTGAGCCAAGTCTGGGAAAATTATAGTGTGACTATATAAATAGATTTTAAAATGTAAAGCTTTTATTAGTAAAGCAAAAGGGAGGAAAATGTCCCATCTCCATATCAGTTACATGTGCCACTCACTGCACTTCTTCTCTGTATCTGCACATAATTCTCAGAGAATTACCCATGATACTGCCTCGGATGACTGTAGACATAGCAAATACTTGTAGTTTAGAAAATGAAAAAAGAAACTGAAAACGCTTACTTGTTGACCTCTTTCTCCTCTTGACAGCCCTCAAGTAAATTTTTTCTGTGACACAATCAGTCACATGGTGGCTGAAACTTTTTTTCTGAATAACTATTCCATTTAAGGAATATTTAAAATAATGTAAGGTATGGGGTTTTTTTTCATTGAGCCAGAATGCACAATCAAAATGTGTTTGGCTGCTTCTAAAAATGCATTGGAACAAGTTTTAGTGGGTACAGACCATATGTTCACTCAGAAACATTAAATTAAGGTGAAAAATCAAGTGAATAGATATTTGGGCACTGAATATAAATTAGTGCCTGTTATTATGATAATAGCGTATGTGTATAGCAGTGTTTACCAACAGAAAAGCAGAAAAAGAGCTCATAAATTTATTTCCTCCATGATGTATTATATGCACCAATGCATTGCAGCGAGTATTCCTTGCAATCCTCGACTAACAAAAGAAAAGAAAACATATTATGGTATTGATTTTCCTGTGTTTCAAGTGGTATGCTATTATTTAGTCTGTTTATAGGTTTAAAACAGATAGTTTATTGGCTACTGTACGTGTCTCTCTTTTGTTATTGGTAAGCCAATTTTTTTGTCTTTCCAGCACGGAAAAATGAGATATAAATCTTAGAATCCTGACAAATGATTTAACTTTTCATATTTAGCAGTGTAGGCATGTACTATAAGCACTCCTTAAATAACTTTCTTTGATTTCAGCATTTTAGTGACATCACATCTTTGTACAGCCTAAATCCTGCTGCTCCACTAGAAGCAGAAGTAAAATATGCATCACCCCCAAAAACCTGGAAAACACTCTATCCACATTGTAATTGGAATTATCAGTCTTTAGAGCTGCATGATAAAGGTACAAAATAGCACAGGTAATCCCAATTACTACCACGGTGTGTCTCCTTTGAGACCAAGTGAAAGTCAAAGAGTATTAAAATCTTCATTGTCTAATCATGGAAAGGTCTGTTGTTCAGAGCAGACAGATTCTACTTGAAATGCTCAGTGGTATCTTGTTTTTCTGAAAAATGTAGAGAAATAAGCTAATTTCTCATTCTCCAAACAAAATGGTTCACATTTTTCTCCACCAGGACCATCTGATGTGAATTGTGAAGCCATAATCCCACCATTGAATCATCATCAGGGTTTTATTAGCTCTGACCTTTCAAGTTATACGCAAAAGAACTCATGTTCTTCAGATGTAGTTGTGGGAAGGAAGCAGGATTTCTTTGTTGTGCCAAAGGACTGTGAAGATTTTGCTTCTCCAGATGTTAAGAATTCTGTTTGTGTTCAGCAACAGCCCTTCATGATGTACTGTTGTAGCTCTGATCATTCTTCCAAAAATTCTAAAGCGGATTTCTTTGCAACTTTGGGTGAATATGCACCTCCGAAGAGCTCTAAGAGTTTTCTACAAGAGTTTAGAGATGTGACATCTAGGAGCCCAGAAATCCTGATTGACAAGACCACCTGGAATGACTCTTCATCCGCTTGCACATATGATTCCTTTGCACCTGTTGATCCAGATGAGCTTCCAAGTTTGACCTTTCACCAAAGAGCTAGAGAATCTTTAGGAAAAGGAAAAAAAAATGCATCGTTATTATGGACAGGAAAAAAAAAAGTGACAGGTATGTGCAAAGCAAACAGAAACTGCTGAAATTCTAATTTGTAACTCTACCAAAAACAGGAGTATGTGTAAGAATAGATTCCGTATTTTGTCTAAGTAGTTGTTAAATCCCACCCAATAGTTGCACTTTTTCCTTATTCCTGAACTTATTTGCACATATATTTCTTGTGTAAAAGTAAAATTGTACTTTGAACAATAAGAATATTCTTTAAAAATTTGTTTTTCCTTGTTAAAAAACTGAAACTGTAGCTCTCTGATTTTATAAACTTCAACCTCTTCTCCCTTTGACAGTGTCTGAAATGCACATAATAAACTTGTCAGAATTATTTTAAAAAGTTATGGGAAATATTATTTTATAACATAGTTTTAGGCAAAATGCAAAAAAAAAAAAAAAAAAAGACTATAAAGTGCTTTTCTCAGAGGACAAAAAGTAAATTCAGCAAAATCAGAGAATGAAATTTAGGTATTATTAGTTGCTGTGTTTTGCTGTTGACTTTAACGGAGTTAGGATTTCATCCTGATACCTTTCTAAGTTTGTTTCATGCAGTTTCCTTATTCTTGGAATCATTTCTGTTAGCTAACATCTCCGGGGCTAAAACACTCTATCTTGAAATCATTGTAAAGCATATTTCTTTAAATAAGTAGTATATAGGATGTACTTGAAAACTTTGTTAACCCTGAAAGTATGTACAGTCCTGATATAAAGCCTTCAGCCTTTTCTTTTTTCCAGCCACTGCCTTGTTCTCTTATCCCTGATTTACTCTCTGCAATGCAGTTAGCCTAATTTATTTTTTCATAAGGCATAATACGTTTCTGTGCAGTTTTAAAAGTGAGAAAAGATCATTAGCCCCTCTCATGCTAGATGTTACTGTATCACATATTGTAGTATTTTTTTTAAACTCTGCTGCTTGTTTATAGGTAAGACACCAAATTCTTCTAAAATCCAAGGTTGAATTTCTTGATAAGAGTGCCTAACTCCTTCCTGGTACAGATAATTTAATTTATGTTTTCTCTTACTGCTGTGTACAGTTAAATCTGTTGGTGGTACAGTAAGGTTAGTACAGCACCAATATTTTCATTAATTAAATCAAACTCATTCATGAAAACACAAGTAACTAACTGATATCACTATGTTTCATGGGCTGCTTAAGGCAAATCTGGCAGTAAACAGAGGAGAAGTTAATTGCACGTGGTGAACTGCTTTTAACTTTCAGCCTATGTGAATTAAGATGTTTATACATAAATCGTAAACAGGGCTGTTGCCTCATCATTTGGAATAAAATTGAAATCCAGGATGCTGCTGGATAATTAACAGTACTATTAGTTCCATTTACAGGTAACTAAAACAGAAAATTCTAATTGCAGTAGTTTAAACAGAGATCGGGGCAGGTTTTCATGGTACTACCTGTCAGAATGTTTTGAAAACATTGCGATCTCTGACTGAATGGCTTTCTGTAATAGTGTGGCCTGATATGGCAAGGATGTACTTAAACCTGAATTGAAGAAAGAAAGGAGATGTGATTTTGACTTAGCTGTTGGGAGAATAGCCTTATTTTGCTTTAGTATTCAGGAGCCAACTGAAAAATAAGTATGCAAGACAGCGATGCCTGCTAAGGCAAAAAGCCACCTTAATATACTGAAAGCTTTCTGAAATTCGAAATTTCAGAAACATGTACAAGGTCAAGTCAGGTCTTTACAAACCCATGTTAAGAACCTTGAGAAACGTTTGCAGGCTTCAGGTCAAATTTTTATTAAAGCACAAACAATTAATGCCAGTATGCCAAGCCAATATTTCCACTCAAACATATGAAGTTCTTTGGTCACTGGAAAGGTTTTCGGGCAATACTTTTTGCAAAGGCTAAACAGAACTTTGTTCTGATAGCTTATTTTGCATAGAAAATTTTTCAAATATTTTATTGTAAAAATACTTGAATTTTAAGAATGTTGGTAGCTTTTTAAACTAACTTGAAAACAGAACTAATTAATATCTCTGATTTAAAAAAGTTAGCTTTCACAGTTACTGAAGACTGAGTGAAATAGAAGTAAGTATGAACATCTTTACTGAAATAATACTCTTGAATAATACCCTTAAATAATACTAATACGCTTTAGTGCAGGTTAATGTATTGATTTTGCACATAAGGTCCTGTGTTATTGTTATAGGATAATATGCATAAAACTCTTCAGTAATAAATATTAGTTAATCTGTACACATTTCATTTTATGTCAGTCTTGTTCCTTTTCATTCAAAGCATACTTACTAAAGACAAAGTCAGTTACTGCTTCCGGGAAACACATAGTTAAGATTGTACACCAGTGATGTTTGTAATTTATCATATCTATATTTTTTTCCATTTCTTTTCCAGATTTAGGATTTGCAGAAGTACCACAGGGAAAAAGAAGAAGATTGACTTTTGAAAGAGTCCCTGGAAGAAGTGATGGGCAAACACGTCTTAAATTCTTTTGAACGGAGTGGGGAGTTGGATACTATAGGTGCCTTTTTAAAAATTTTTAAACATTTAAAGCAAAATGGTTTAAATTCAGTTCTTCATTCATTTTTAAAGAGAAATTTGGGTTGAAGGGTGTTGGCAATTTACTAATTAAGGACTTTTGTATATTTTTAAAATGTTACTACCAAAGGTGTTCCTTGAATCTGGAGAATTTATTGCTTCTCTGTTTGTTCTTACAAGTCATATAAAAGTATCTTATCATGCTTCATTCAAAAAGTAAAGCATGAATGAAAAACACAGATGCTGAAGTGTATAGTGTATCCAAGGGACCTGTGTTTGCTTTATAAGGGTGTAGATTTCCAAGCTTGCGGGTGAACAAGGTCTACCAGAATCTCAAGACGACTTAGAAAGTGTTAGAGCTTTCTTTCACATAAAGCCTGGAGTCTTTGCATTCCTCCTTTAGGCTCAGCTCTACTTCCTTCCTTGTGACAGCTGACTTAGAAGCCATGTGATGTTATGAGCTTCTGAACTGGCTTTAGCCATTTTCAAGCGTCAGAAAAAACTATACCTGTTTTATGGATAGCATGTGAAAAATATGTTGAAATTCTAATAGCCTTGATTCAAAGTTATGACCCTAGCTCTCTTTCTAATCTGATGGAGACCATCTGTTAGTGAAGAGCATTTGTTGGCATCCACGTTTTTCAGGCTCCTACAGGACATCTGCCGACAGGGAGACAGTAAGCATTTGAGATGCGCTGCCAGCCATTGTAGGCTAAAGCCAGAAGATGCCGGGGAAAAAATGCCATCTCTGTTGCAAGCTACAGAACAGAAAGGGCAGAACAGTTTACTGAACACCCATATTCCATTAAAAGAGGGAAATGCTGGAACAATGCTGGAAATACATATGGGAGCAATGGCAGACAGTAACTCCGTCCTACTGCAGGAGTGAGTGTAGCAAAGGAATGTCAGCCAGCTCCAAATGTCAGTGTTCCTTCAGTGGCCTTTAGTTTAGTTTTCAAACCCACAATTTTTTTTAAGTAAGTTGAATGCAGTAACAGCAAAAAACAGGTGTTGCAAGACAGCTTCTGCTTGCAGTAAAATACTTTCTTGACCATAGGCTTTCATTAAGCACATACTCGCTGTTTGGCTAAAATAAAACCAGAGCTCAGGGGAGGAGCTTTCGTTTCTCAGGGAAAATGGGATGCTGATTTTTTAGTGAGAATACCTAGAACATATGGTGACAGCCCTCCTAGCAATTTTAACTTAAAATAATACCCCCAAATTATTTGTATCCAAACTGTTTACAAGATTTTAGAAAACTCCTTTCACCTGTTACTTGAAAAAAGATTTTTTTCTGGAACTAGAAACAAGCCAGTTTTTCCCTATTTTGCACAAAACAAGAATAAGCCTTAAATAAAAATTGCAGTCCGCTCACTATTTCTGGCCCATTTTTGTGGTCACTTGACCTAACCGTTTTCCATCGCTCCTATCTCCCAAATTACTAGGCTCAGGAATCTGTTCTTTTCAGAGTGCAGCTTTGCAAAAGCTTAGTCACAGACAACCACAGTGGGGAAAATTATAGCTGCCACTGCTAGCTATGTATTTAGGTCCATCTTTCAGACATACAAAGGTTGAGACCAGTACTTCTGTTGAACATTCATGAAAAGTTAGCATAGATAATCCTTAAAGTAGCAATCACAGTTCACTTCGAAAATAGAGGCAACCTATATGTCGCCTACATTAGGTAAGTGAAGAAAATTCAAATGTAGTCTACTTTCAGTTTCTGTTAAATAGAAAAATGTCTATACAGTTAGTTATTGGCAACATAATGGAAAATAAGGTTAAGGATTTGCAATGACCATTTTATTTTTACTCTATTTTTGACTCTCAGTCTCACAGACGCATACACCTGGACAAATTCATCACGTACAAGGTTCTTTTTCCTCTCCCATCAGCTGTGCATCCTAAAGTATCTATAACTGAGAAGAGTCCCACAACATTAGAGTATCAGAAGAATTTCATCCTGGAAAGGGAGGCAGTCAGCGCTAACTAAACGGTGATTGACTATTGCCCTTATTTTTCCCTAGCTGGGGGTAAGAAGGGAATGTGACTTCATCCTTGCACTGCATCTTTTTGTCTGAGAATGAATTGCTTCCATCAGCAGTATGGATAATCAGTTCTTGGGTCGAATTTGCAAATTGCTTAGCGAGCAGGCAGGTGGCATCTGAAGGTGGAAAAAGAGCCTTGCTAACGGGTTGTGAGAAGTGATGTTGAAGGACTGTGAGAGAGGTGACAGTGAGAAAAGGTGGCCTTGTGGCTCGTGCTAGAAGCTTGGTGTACAGATTTGTGCATTCAAGTAATTTGCTTTATCACAGGCATCCTGCGAAACCCTCAGTCATAAGCGTGATAACAAGGCATCCTGCACACACCCCCAGTAGCTGAGGCCTCGGCAGACAACCTCTTCCACGGCCTTTGTTAGAGGAAATTAAGATACTATTCTCTGCAGTGGTCCAGCCTGCTGGAGATGCACCTGTGTGCAGATGCAACACAACAAGGTGATTATCCTCACCTAAGTCATCCCAGTGCTCAGTTAGGCAAATTAATGCAAAGCCAGCTATGTCTGCAGTTTCACTGCCCTGTGGACCAGAGAGCTAAGAGACACCCTATTCTGAAAGGCAGGCTGCTGCCCATGTCCATCTATCAGATTCCCTAGGTGCCTTGAAAAGGGGGACCTGCAACAGCTGAGCTGCTGAGATGCAGGTTGCTTCATTTAGCCAACACAGAATAAACAGGAGTGGGATGCCTATCAAAACTCACTCCACACAGGGACTTACATGGCAGAGCGCCAAACAACCATGCTCCAGAGTTGCGCATTTACGTCAACCCTTTGTCACAAACCATGCCTGGAAGTGGGGAAGTAGTACTGCTGCCGTCCTCCCCACTACTTCTACCCAGTAGTTCGGGTGCACAATGCCCAGAAAGCAATGGTGCAGAGGGCTTACTCCTCTGAAGAGACCTGAATCCATATCTTCCTCCTGTAGGGCTGTGACAGCCATGCTCTCGGGTATGATAGGACAGAGCACACTCAATCTATTTTACTGCTGTTGTCCAGATCTTTTTATCCCCTGCTTGCACTGAATCTGGATGCAGCCAGGATCCTGCAGATGCTCAGTCCTGAGTTATGTGCTCAGCTCAGGCTTAGGGATAATCTGGATTTTGGGATTTTGGAGGTGGGTGACTCTGAGAGGCAGCTAGACATAATTTAAGATACCTGCACTCTTTTGTAGAGAGCCAGTGAGGCAGTGTTTGGCTTCCACAATATGCCCACAAAGTGCTGCTCTTCCACCATACATTGACTGGGCTGTTGTAGCTGTGAGATGCTGAATGGTGCTGGGCTAGGCAGCCAAGAGGCCACACCATTTGGCTGACAGGCTAGTGGCAGCTATTTTTTCTTACATACCGTAATTTAAAAGCTCTTTGTGCCAGCTCATCAGTGAGGACACAGCGCCAAGATTCAAGTGAGAACGCAGTGCAGAAAAGGAGGCACAGCAGGTGGGCCTGGGGAGAGAAACATTGGGGCTGGAGGGAGGGTTTATTGCAGGAAGTAAAAGAGGTATGAAGGGCTTATCTGGGAGGAGGCAGCTAGGAGCAGCATAGAAATACCAGCAGCCAGACGCCGATCATTCAAAGTCATTTGAATGTGTACCCTCTTCTCCCTCTCTCCTCACTGGGTTGAGAATTTTGACCTCAACCTAAGCCTCTGATCACCTCTGCAAATACGAGTAATAGTATTTCCTCTAGATTACTGCAATAAGTGCATGTGTCAAGTACTACAAGAAAAACTGTCGGACATTCTTAAGTAGTTTACAAAGAAAAGGAAGCCAAAGAAAGGCTCTTAAGGAAAGACATTCTTTTCCGTACTTAGAGGCACAGTTCATATTGGCAGTACTATTGCTTTCTTTTCAGTGTCTCCCTGCAGGACAAATGTGAAAAACTCGTGTTAAAGACTTAACTGTCTGGAGGACATTCATTGTCCAGTTGCAGTTAATATTTATGAAAACTAAATATTCAGATCGCCTAAGGCGATATTGCAGGCTTCTTCCTTACAGTTTCAAGATTTATGTGTTAGCCTGGCCACTTAGCTACTCTATGCCACAAAAATGATAAATAGCTGTAAGTAGGAATTTTCTGTTAATGAGACACAACATTTTCTAAAAATCCATCAGTAATCTTTTGTTCCCAAAAAGCCACGAGGGCTCCCCTCCCACCTTAAAATTAAAGTATCCTCCTAAAAGTTCCCTAATGGGTCTGCTCTTTCTTAAAATTAAACAATGAGTTCAAAGCCAGGAGGGAAAGGAATTTTATTTCCAAACTTCTAAAAGATTAATACAAAAAATGGATAGTAAACAAAATGAAAAAAACTAGTAAAAAACATTAATGTTGTCCTTGTAAAAGTGCTCTATAAAAAAACCGAAGGCGCATAACCAAGCACATTTTATTTGCAGAACTTTGTAATTTACATTCATTTCAAATCTTGACATATACATGCATGCAAATACCTTTGTGTTCATGCGGTTTTAGTGTCTGGTCACATTTTAAACTTGTGTCAAAGATTTTCCACCAAGGCATTATCTTTATGAATACAAATTAGAAGAAGTATTAAACCCATTGAAAGTTTTGCAAGAAATATGCTTAAAGAATCAAGCCTGTGCTACATTTGGTGTCAAGCAGTTTCTAGTACGTCATTTGTGCACTTTTAAGAGCATTTAAGTGCACTTGAAAAACAGCGCAGCTGATTCCAAGACTTGCCAATTAAAAAAAAAAAAAAAAAAAGAGTTCCATTTGAGAACAATCTCTTACTATGAACAGCAATTACTTTTACATTTTAACAGCTCATTCTATGAATGTTTTACTTTGGAAAATACAAATATTTTTACTTTCCCAAACTTTGTAATTTATGTAGGCAGAAAATCTTTCATTCAGGCATAACAGCGTACCAAGACAGAAATAAGTAATTTGGTAAAAATTCATGTGCTTTTCTTTTCTAAAATGTAAACATTACAAATAATATTTGTATAGTTAGTATAGTGTAGTAACAATGGTGACAATTATGAAAAGAATATGAGCTATAGTAAAAACTTTACAAACATCAGCAAATGGCCTAGTGAGGTACAGATACACGAGAACAAATAGATAAATTACTAAGAGATCATTTTAGCCACACAAAAGTAAGGGCACAGAGATAGTCTGTTCTTGAAAAGGAAAGGCAGTTGTTATTCATGTCATGCTCGAAGGCAGCTCCCTGATGACCTTCCCTACAAAAGGAAAAAAAGGTCTATTAAATGTTGTCACCCTAAGCTGATACGTTTCTCTTACAAATTGTGACACATAAGATCCTTTGTACTGAGTCAGACTGAATTATCACCTTCCTTTGTTTGATATTGGCATCCTTGAGTACTACAAAAATTTTGCACTGTCTTTTTTCATTTTACTGTCATCTTTTATAATCCTAAGGTAATTAAATTCCTACCTAGATAATTAAACTGTTAGCAAAAGATGATAAAATGAAATCTGGGACTCAGCCATGCATTTATAAAATTATTGTACTATATGAAGCAAATTCAAACTTGAGAAAATGTTTTGTATCCTGCCTGGATGATACAATCAAACTCAAATCTTAGAAGCCTGCAAGGAATTAGATAGGCTACTTCAATAGCAGAAGAGTACATGCAACTGTCACTGTCAGCTTTATCTCATTTGCAGTAAGGATTAAGGATAACATCTAAATTTACTGTAACTAAAGAGAAAATCTGGTCTTCACACTGTTCTTTTCAGAAGAAAAAAAGCTCTCTCTCTTCCTTTTCAATCTTATCTTCTCAAACCGAAGTGGCAACAATCAAAACTGTGCTATTAATGAGAGACAAACACAACTTAAACTCACGAACTCTGGAAAGGGGAAGGGGAACATTCTATAAGTACTTTACGTTCTAGTTTAAATTCTTCTTCTGAAGAAAATACTAATTTTCACTTTGATAGCCTTCTTAAATAAATTTGTTGGTTCTTCCTTTCCCAATAGTTTTTCCAGCTCAGTAGCAGGAACTATTTTTACTTTTTCTGTTAAAGAAGAGTAGTGCTTTCTGAATATCCTACTACCATGTGCATTTATCACGCACAAGAAACAAAGACTTTTTGGCAAAAGTTATGGTGGTGATCCAGCCTGAGACTGATAGCACACACATCCTTCCGTCCTCCTACTGCAGTCACTGATACCAGCATGACAGGTGGGAGAGACAAGAGTGAGAACTACAAGACTGAATCCCAGAAACTCATTTGCTGGATGGATCCATGCTCCAGTTGTACCGCAGAAACAAACTATGCACAGCACTAATGCCGACAGAATTCAGGGAGTATCCTGTTTTTTAGATCTGTGCTGAAAACGGTTATGGAGAATGCGATTACAGATCATCATGTCAGCCCCTCACTGCCTGCACCATTTTTGGCACTGTATCACCCGTAACAATTGAAAAAGCCTAAGGACAGAAACAGCTGAAATTAACTGCAACATGATATTGAAGACAATACATTTTCAGCAAGGGCCTTGCCTAAGCTATAAGCTAGTCACCAAAATATATGTGAGTGTTAAAGCTTTCTGTTACTTCTTCAGGCTGGATAGATGCCTGTTCTGTGGCTGGTTGTGTCAAACATGCAGCAGTGTTTCATGGATAGCTTTTATTATTTTAGGGGACGTGAATGACCCCAGAGCTGGTCAAGTGAAAAGAAAAAACCCAAAACCGCAAACAAACAAAACAGTAAAAGATCCCAAAAACCCTCAAGAAGGGACAAACAGCAGGAGAGAGGCATATTTCAATGGCCACACCTAAAAGAAACAGAAAAGCAGTATGTGGAGCCAGCAGGAAAGTGATGGGCATTTTGCTGTGAAGAGCTCCACATTTAAATCACTATAAGAATGTATCTTTGTCGTTCCCTGGCCCGGAGTTTGAAATGCGTCATCTGTGTCATATCTGTGAGTTTATTACCTGACTTCAGAGTAGAGCGCAGGATCTGGGCTCTCGAAAGGGATTGCTCCCTGCAGGAACTCCAACAAGCAAGGCGTCTTTGCAGGCATTTTGCATGCAGTACTGCTGGAGTTCTGCAGCTGCCTGAGAGACCTGCGCAAAGAAGGAGGAAAAACAAACCCAGAGAAGAAACCAATTTATTTGCAAGCAAGTATTAGGCATTTCCTCTTGGAGAAACATTATCAGATAGAGTTGGAGGGCAGCCAAGTCAGCGCTTGAATTCTAAAACAGCAAGTAAATCAGCACGGATGCACATTTACAAAGCCCTGATGAGACGTGCGTGAAATACTATGCCAGTGATGAGCCAGAGCAGTGTATAGGATTGAGATGTGCATGGCATGGAATTTGTCCTCATTTTAGGTTTATGTTTGAACTCTTATTATCCTAACATCATTTATAAGAAATATTTCCAAACTGTTAGGCAACACAGAGGATAGCACTGAAGGAAAGGAGACAAAAAGGAGGAAAAGATTTTTTTAGGTACAAAGTGGCAATGAGGTCAGACCTTTAAATCCAGACTCTGGCCCCCAGAGAGGACAGTTCTGATGTCCAGAGGTGCAGAACAAGCCCAGGAACCTGAGGGTAAGAGGGCTGCAGCACTAGGCTGCCCTGTCCTCCTGGTGCCTGGCAAATCAGGAAAGTTAGGAAATAGGGAAATTCCCCATTTCTCAGATGGGCATTGGGAGCAGCTGCATGGAACTATCAAAGGCATGCTCTCTGCCACATTTTGGATAAAAGGAATCACCGAGAATGTTCATGGCAGTACCAATTTCCTCTGACTACACCTCCAACTTCGCTACAGAGCTCCTGAAATACTGCCTTTCCTTCCCATACTGTTCTGCAGTGTTACCAGAGGAGGGATGAGACAATAGGCAGAGCAAGCAACCACACACTTCCCAGCCTCTTGATTGAAGGGATCTCCCAGGGGTCCTGACGGGACTTTGGTTCGGGGCTGGCAGACCTAGCAGCATCCCCAGGCGTGCTGGGAAGCCTGGCCTGCCTAACACATCCTTTCATTTGCTTTTTCACCACTGTTCCGCTCATGGCCTCGCAACTCTCACTGATATTTACCCTTTTAACCGCCCGAATATACACAGAAGATGGATTCCTTATATCTGTCTTTAGATTTTAGAGAGAAGAGAGAGGAATTAAGAGAACCATTTTCCCCAGCCTCCCACTTCCTCTTTGAAGGAGCATAAGGAGGAAAATCCACAGTGAGGATCTCTGCTACTCCATGGACTTGGCCACTCTTCTTGGAGAGAGTCTCTCTCCGGTGCTACAGAGGCCTCCCACCTTGCCGTCCCATTTGATGCCCTACAGTCTTAAACATTGTTGCCTCAGTCACAACGTTTAAATTTGACCCTCTCCTAGTGCTCGACTGTGCATCAGATTGATATAAGGCAGAGCTGGCCCTAACCAACATGGATCAGGCCAGGGCTGCATGGAGGTTTTTCGAGGGAAAATAAGTGGAGAGCTGTTCAGGGCACGGCTCACCACACGACCACAACACAGCTCTGCAGTTCCTTACTGCATGCCTTTGCTCACTACTGCCAAGCTCTGCAAGGAGCACAGAGCCATGTATATCCTACCAGTACTCCTCGGAAGATATAAACGCAATTTGTGGCCTCCGTGTAAGAATCATCTATATGCCTTCTATAACATTCTTTTCACTCTTCCAGTTTAGGCAGAAAGTACAGGGGTTCCTACTATATTTCATCATATGACAAACATGCTCAGTTCATCAGCCTCCCACATGCAAGATGTGTGGGGGTACTTCTTTCCTATTCAGTTTCCTCTTTCTGAAAATACTGTTCCTTTGAACTTTGGTAGCTTTACAGCAGAAAAAAAAAAAAAAAAAAAGAAATCACCACTGGAGTTTGTAGTATAGGATGCGTTTTTAATATTGTTTTCATATTCAGTTTCCTTCTGAAAACATATTGTCTATTCAAGGCAACCAAAACAATATGTTTTCTCCCATCTCAGCGTCTGTTAAAACGGATCCAACCATTTTCTCACCGGCTGAATATTCCTCAGTGTTTTTCCATTATATGTCAAGAAGCCAAGGCAACACTGGGTAAAAGGCATGTTTTTAAATAATACTTCATGTCATTTGTGACTATAAAAAGAAACAAACAGAGCTTCCTCCAATGGACCTGGAAAGAGACTGCTGTACACAATGTTGTAAGAAAGATCTCGTCAGCTCCAAGCCTCCTTAGAGCACAAGGAAACCCACAATAAATACCTGTCCCAGAGCAGTCCAACTCCATAATGTCTGTCCACCTCCCCAAAGTAACTCCTAATAAACTACAAACTACACCCTTTGTACAAAGGTAAACAAACAAAAAAATTAAACGTCTTGAAATGAGCAGGAGCAAAGACCCAGGGCATTGTTGGTGGTCTAAAGGAACAGAAATGTTCAGGTAATCCTTTCTGTGCTGGACAACCTCCATCTTGCCACAAAAACACCTGCATGCTTTTCTGCTCTGGATCATGCTGCTCGCCATAGATTTCCACATACCGTTCCTATGATAAGCTACACTCACTTTTAGTGACCCACAGATTTGTCAAGTTAGTATTATTTAATAAGATGTAATTACATTAAAAAATCATCAGGATAATGTCCAAAAGCCATGGTGCTTTCACCTTGAGAAAAGGCATTTAAATAAACCAGTAGCTACATTCCTGAAGCTCAATATGCTGACACCGTGTACAAACCAAGGAAGCCAGTGCTTTATGACTGGTCAGTGGCCTGTGTATGGAGGTGATGAGAGAAGAGGAAAGCATAGGATGCAAATTAATTTGACCTCTATCACTTCACAGCCTAAGCTGGACTTTGTGCTTGACTGGAAAGAGTCATTTTACCAAAGCAGTGGTGGGACTCGTCACTCTAAAACCCCTACTTGGCTATTAGCCAAGTTTGACAGGACTGCAGGGATGATTTCAGATTGCTCGAGTGGGGAGGGAGGGGGAGAACAAAACAAAACAAAAAACCTTAGGAATGGGTAGATGATAGGACTGCCTCACTAGCCTGTCTTTGCCTGGAAGTCAGCAGACATGAGAAGGTTCATGCATGCATAGAAAATTGCCCGTTTTCCCCAAGTGTGTCAAGGGAAGAAAAAACCCCCTGCCTCTCCCTGCAAACCTTGCCTTTTCTCAGAGTGGGGGAAGCTGGTTGGCTCAGTGGTGAGGAGCTATCCTGGATTATCATGCTTGCTTGTGCAGAACTAATGAGGTTCCACTCTATTATTTATTATAGTTACTTTCACCAGGGAACGGCTCTTACTCCACTGCACCATCCTGGGCAGCAAAGGGCCAGGTGCCAAGGGCCGAGGCTCGGAGCTCCCCAGAGCACATGCAGCCTCCCTCAGCCCTCTCCCAGAGCAGGCCAAGCTTTGAAACCTTTTGCTTTGAGGCCTTTTGA